GGTTGGTCTTGAGATGGGCCTATAATGAAGTGATTGAGGGAATGAGTCAGAATGACTCTTGGAATGGAGCTCCAGAGAATGGGATCAAAAAAGCTGAAAACGCATCCACCAAAGGTCCGGTAGATGGGATGGGGAACATGAAGCAAGTCAGTGCCCACTGAGTGAAGGTAATGGCCAGGTCGATAGGGTTTGAGGAGGTCACAGAGGTAGTATTGGGTAAGACCGTGGAGGATTTAAAGGTGAAAACAAAGATCTTGAACTCGAACACGTGGTAACAAAGTCAATAACATTGCCAACCAACAAAATTTCATATTTCATTAGTAGTATAAAAACAATCCGTAGCTCAGGCAACAAAAGCAAGGATAGATATCTCAAGAATTTCACCCTGAATGTCCTGGATAGACAGGAAACGTTGGAGAATTTGCACTAAATACCAAAAGATATTTAGTCATAGATTTACCTGGTTCAGCTAGTGATGTTTGTCTGCATCTGAATTTTTGCACATAAGGGGTAGTGGGACAAAAAGTGCAATATATCATCACAAATTCAATGGGATACTAATTTCCTGCTCTTTGGAGCTCGCTCCCAAAATGTATCTTTCTGTCTCCCTCTTTTTAAAACTTTTCTAAAAGAAAATGAACTCTTCCATGTTCCTCCTACCCATCCCTTTTGTTCCACTTGGCTTGGTTGTTCCACATTGTCCTGTAAAGTACTTTGAGTCAATCTCCTATGTGAAAGGCACCAGATAGGTGTGAGTTGTTGTTTATGATACATTAAATATACAGTAAACTCACGATAACTCATCACTCCAAGGGAAAAAGGCTCAGCAACTAGGTATCCAGAATGGTTAGCTAGGTATTGGTCCTCCTGGGCCACACAAGGGGATGCTTTGACTGGTGTAAGCACTTGACAGAGATCGAGTGTGCACAGGATGTGGGGTGGCCCTCCAATAGAACAGAGGCCTCTGCAATATATCCGAGCATGTGTGCCCAACCTTTGCTGAGCACCCGCACTAGTCACAGGATAGGGCAGGAGGTCTTTGCAATGCAAAACACATCTTACAGAACTAGTTATCCAATCAAGTTTACAATTTAAGTACTTGCAAGAATTTCTAGAATGCTAAGCAGAGTGACAAGTAAAGCAGTTACTTATTTACATTTTGCATCAGAATGCAGCCTGGATATTAACAGCCTGGCAACTTAAATGATCATGACTAGTTAAACCAGTATCTTGTTATCAGGAGTTCATTGTGTTTGAAACACCACATTTTGTGTCATTTTGTTCCAGGCAACAAAATTGTATGGGAGAAAAATGCACAAGTAAAGGAAATGTATGGAGTGTCACTCCTGGCAATGTGTATGGATATTTCCAGCCTCAGCAGCTCTGTGTTACAACTATAAACATGGAGATCTGGCACACACAGACTGGTAATTGTTGTGTGGTGCTGTACTGAACTGAAGGCTTACCATATCTCATCAATGTTGTAAACGAAAACTTTAGCAGTGGAATAAGACAACCTTGTCAAGTCCAATGGATTGCAAGGCCTTAGACTGAAATGATGCCAAGAGCAAAATATATCTATTCTTTGCAGTTTGTTAAATAAAGTTTAAAATATTCATACTCTGTGTGTGTGTGTAGACTTTATACTGGGTATCGACAAAATTCGCTTACCCCCTGTTACAAAGCAGCGATATGAGAATACGGAGGAGCTGAAACAAACTGTCAGAGATGCATTTTGCCTCGTCACTCCATCATGTTACGGAAGATGTTACACTGAACACGGCGACGGATCATTATCTGCCATGAAACTGATGACGCCTCACACACAACGATCCTCTGGACATCTATACACCAAAATAGAGTTAAACACTTGTAATGAATACAATTAACTATTTTTAAATATAATTATTATCATTCAACAACAATAAGATTGCATTTATAGCATTCTTTCAATTGTTGGTCAGTGTATTGAAGAAAAAAACATTGGGGTAACAGGACTTTGTGGAGACCCTGCGGTATACTAAAGTAGGGCTGATGTTTCTTAAGCAAATCCCTCTTCTACCAGTATTTCTGAATATGTTTGTTACTTGTTTGCCTCAGTTTGGTTCAAATGTCATGACCAAGACAAGGACCTGAATTATCTGCAATGAAGAGACTTTGGATCCTTTAATTAGTTGGTCTTACCTTCCCTGCTTACTGGAACATTTACGCTTTTTGGTTTACAGTACAGCACAAAAAAATCAAGCCAAAAAATGTTTTCCTGCTTGGAAGGAATATTGGAGTTACAGTTCTTATGATATGATTTGGTTGGATTTAGCTCAGATAAATCTACCTGATAAATGGGATTCCATACAGAATAGGAGCTCCCTGCCTGAGACTATTTAAGTTATTTGGCTGCTACTGAACCTTATGCTTAGTTTTCCTTTCAATACGCTAATGAGAGACTATTTGAATGAATGCAGACCGATTTGTGGTCAAATGCGCAAACTGGTGCTTTGTTGAGAGCTTTCAGATGACTTGGAAAGTTAGTCAATACTAGATCATTACCTCCAGTTGGAGTGTCAACCTGACTGGATGAGATCATTAACAACTACAAAGGAGAGTGCTGCATAGCCGTGGTGGTCTGGTTTTTGTTTCCAAGATGTTTCCTCATTGTGATAATTGAAGTCAAGCTAATTCTGTTTGTCGTATTTCACGGGGAGCTGAAATGATGGAATCAGCAGCAGATGCTGTAATCAAAATGCCCTGCCTTTTCTTCAGAAATATTTATCTTCCAATAATTTTGAATTCATTCCAAATCTTGCCTGCTGCAGGTTGCCAGCAATTGCTCATAATATAGAACCTGGCACCATCTGTCCCACGGTCGTGCTGAAAGAGATCACAGCTATAACAACAACAACTTGCACTTATATAGTGCCCTCCACGCAGCGTAGCTGGATGGGGTTGGGGGAGGTGGCCGTAAGCACGGTCGAAGAAGAAGGTTTTCAGACGGGACTTGATAAAGGGGAGAGAGGGGGCAAGGGGGAGGGATTGATTGAGTGTTCCAGAGTTTTGGGGCACAGTGGCTGAAAGTGTGACCTCTGATGGTGGGGTGGAGGGTGCGAGGCATGAGCAGGAGGCCGGTGCCAGTCGAGCAGAGGCACCGGGTGATAGATTGGGGAGTGAAGAGGTTGGAGAGGTAGGGAGATACCAGGGTGTGAGGATCTTGAAATCGATCTGTTTAGTGATGGGGAGCCAGTGGAGCCTGGCCAGAACTGATGAGATGTGGGTACTACGTTTGGTCCATGTCAGTATGCAGGCGGCATGGTTCTGAATGAGCTGGATTTTTGAATAGTGGAGCTGGGGAGACCAGCGAGGAGTAGGTTTAAGTAATCCAGGCAGGAGGTGACAAACATATGCACAATGTTTTCAGCTGCATTTGGGGTAAGGTAGTCGGAGGCATGCAATGTGGCGGAGGTGGAAGAAGGCGGTCCTGGTCAGGGAGCGAATGTGGGGAGGAAGGACAGTGGGGAGGAGGGAGGTCAAACCGGGCAGCTAGATTGCACACTGGTTCAGTGAGTCTGAGGGAGAGCCCAGGGAGGTTGAGGAGTTTAGATCTGCAAGAAAAAAAAAGGAGCTATGGATGTATATGGACTTATTTACCACTTATTCCACTAAGAATGATTCACAAATAACTAGTACGTCAATATTGCCAGCACTGTAATAACACAGCAAGAGATTATAGGTTGGCTTGAAAGCAATGACAGTTTGCCAAACATAAAGCAAAGAAATGGATCAATTTATGTGAACATCCGGTTTACCAATAGTCATAGACATTTATTTCTGAGACCAAATCCTAAATGTCCAGAAAGCATACGATCAATTCGCTTTACAATATATTCTGTGAAGCACTTTGAGATGTCTCGATGACATGATAAGGTGCTATATCAAAATGCAAGGATTATTATTATTATTATGAATTTGTAGTGAATTTGGGCTGTTCTTTCCATGCAAAACAGCATCTGGGACTCGAATTTGGAAATCCAGGACAAAGTTCTAAAGAGTAGCCATAAATGAGTCCTACACCAGAAAGATGCTTCTCGACATCAGTCATTGTTTTCACACTAGTATATGCATCCTGGTTTCTCAACACTGAAGATTAGTTTCTGTCAGTTTCTATACTGCCGAGTGGAAGGGTAGACTTGAGCAGCCAGAATAAAAATGTCTTCAAACTACTGGAAAATTTGACAGGCATGAATTGAACACAGTTCTAGGATGACCTATTCTAAACCAATGGGGTAGATACATAGTCCAAGAGGATTTAACTATTATGATACTCAACCAGTATGCAGGCGGCATGGTTCTGGATGAGCTGGATGTTTTGAATAATAACCATTATTAATAACAACAAATTACATTTGAATAGCGCCTTTCACATTGGGAGTATGCCCCCAAGGCGTTGGACAGTCAGGGAATTTGGACCCGAGCTGGGGGTTGGAATCAGGAGGGTGGAGGGCAGGTAGAGTAGGGGTAACCGAACGCGTGATCGCAGAGGAAGGTCTTGAGACGTGCCTTGAAGGAGGCAAAGGGAGCCCTCTCTGCCAAGTACTTTGGCGAGTTCCCCGAGGTGAAAGATGGGGCGTTGAGAGTGCAATCTGATACCGTACCGAGGAGTTACAAGAGGGAATGTGGTATCAGAGTAAAAAAAAAACCCCCCAAGGAAGGCGGCAGAAGAAATAAATACATGACATCTTTTTTTTAAAAAAATGTAGGGAGGGTTTTTTAAAAAAAAAAGCACAGATAATTTTCAGCTCTCAGTGGGTGAGAGTGAGTGTGAGAGTGAGGTGGGCGTTAGTGTGTGTGGTGTGTGTGCGGATGGTTACAGTAGCCAATGAGCAGAGGAGGGAGGGAGGGATTTCCTGGCGGCTGTGACCGCTGTGGGTGGGGGAGGAAGAGGCGGTCTGAGCCGAGCGCTGCTCAGTCAGTCACACAGACAGACAGACAGACAGAGGAGGAGAGGGGCAGCTCCTGGGCGGAAAGAACAGGTTAGACATCGGACAGGAGCTGCTGCAGGAGGAGCCGCGGCCCCGGGGCCGGGTCACAGCCAGACCGGGGTATGTGGTGAGCGCTGTGGCCGCTCTGTCTGGGGGGGGCCCGGGGGGGGGGGGGGCGGCAAGTGTGTAGCCCAATGTATGGGGGGGGTGCAAAATGCATGTGGATTGTGCAAGTTGTGTGTGAATCGAGTCAGAGTGCAAATTGTTTCAGTGTGTGTGTGTGTGTGTGTGTGTGTTGTATCTGTGTGCACTGTGTGGAAATTGTCTGAGTGTGTGAGTGTGTGAGTGTGTGTCGGGGGGAGGGAGGAGGGGAGGGGGTATTTCCGTTATTCTGGGCGCCGTGTTGCGGGGCGCGGGGGGAGACTGTAGTTACTGTGGACACACACCACCCTCACTGTTGTTATAATACCACACTGTTGTATGTATCCCCGGCGCCTGTGAGTGAAACCCAGTCTTTCGTGTCGCACACTGTACTTTATTACCGTGTACGTTTGCACAGAGTTTACACCGCACAAACACTGTGTAGGACACAGTAGTGTGTAAGTAAACTCTGTACACTGTGTAGTGTCCACGCACTTGGGCTGTGTGCACTGTATAGTGTACATTGCACTTGCACTGTGTACACTGTACAGATTGTTCTATGTACATTTCATATTTGCACACTGCATCCCCTGCATGTGGTTTACATTAACTTTGTACACTCAATAGATTGTGCTGCACACACTTCATTGCATGCACACTGCATACCTTGTACATTTAACTTTGTATGTGCGGTGTGTACATTATATTCAGCAAGTTGTACAATGGTGTACATTTCACATCGTGTACATTATACGCCGGCGATGGTGAATTTACATTATTAAATTGTGTAGCATACATTTCGTGCAATATGTAGATTGTAAATGAGATTTTTGTTTGTGCTGTACTGTGTACATTGCACACCACACAGTATACGATACACTATATATCAGCCTTATACATTGCATTCCATACATTGCCCAGCACAGTATATAAGTCTAAATCAGCATTGCACGAGGTACATTATGCCCTGTACATTACATACCGTAATGCTGTATATTACAGTCTGTTCTGTGCTCTTGACTGTGCAGAGTAATCTCCATAGACACCATTATATAGTGTGTGTGTATAGAGCCACAACTTTATATATAGCTTTTAATGTGTAGCTGCACGTCAGATTACTTGATACAATTATGTTACTCTATTAGACATTTGCAGTGCATTACGGTTCCAGGGGCTCTGTACACACTGCTGGATTTTGCCGGATTGCACATTATACAACACAGTATATAAGTGTACGTGTGTAAGGCGAGAGAAAGAGTAATATTTTCCAAGATAACATTGCATTTGAAGTCCATTCACACTATGTGACATCCAATGTGTGTGTGTGTGTATATATCTATATGATTTATAATACACCACATATTAGATACATGCACACGATGACAGTCGGTGTATATGTATATGTATAACGTTATATATACTACGTGACAGACATTATGTGAAGTGCATTAATTCTGTGTGACAGTCACAGTGGGCGATGTTACTGTGTCACATGAAACATGTACAGTATCGCGGGCCTCAGGCTCCCCCCCAGATGCCGCGCGGGCCCGGGCTCAGACTTTTGCACAACAAATTAATAACAGTGATAATAATATTAATAATGATGATGACAGTGGGGAGTGAGAGTGTGTGTTGAACGTGTGTGTGTGGGTGTGTGTGTGTGTGGGGGCGGCGCTGGGGGTAAACTTTCAGTCGGTTTCCCTCCCTGTCGGTTGGGGCCTATTTTAATGTCTGGTTATGTTCAGTTTAACAGCATTTCCTCCTCCGCCGCCGCGTGTTTAACGGTGTGTTTGGCCGTTGATTGCCCTGTTATTGGGGGCCACAGGTGGGCGCGGGGCTGCGGTCAGTGTTTAAACTGTGACCCCCTCCCCCGAGAGAGAGGGTGAGGGCCCCGGACACCCCCACACCCCCACCCGCTGTGTATGCACAGGTGTGTGTTTAAGGGCGGGAGGAAAACCTCTATGTTAGGCCGTGTTTTTGTGCCAATCCCTCTCCCTCTCCCCCTCTCCCTCTCTCCCTCTCCCTCTCCCTCTCTCTGCCCGGGTTTGGGGCCTCGTGGGGACGAGAGACCGAGAGGAAACCTTCACCACCAGCGCTGCTCTGCTTCCTCTATTACTGACTCCAAAGTTAGTCTGAGCCACACACACGGTCTCCCCCTCTCTATACCCCTCTCCCTCTCCCTCTCTATACCCCCCTCCCTCCCTCTCTATACCCCCCTCCCTCTCCCTCTCTATACCCCCCTCCCTCTCCCTCTCTCTCTATACCCCCCTCCCTCTCCCTCTCTATACCCCCCTCCCTCTCCCTCTCTATACCCCCCCCTCCCTCTCCCTCTCTATACCCCCCTCCCTCTCCTCTCTATACCCCCCCTCCCTCTCCCTCTCTATACCCCCTCCTCTCTCTCTCTATACCCCCCTCCCCTCCCTCTCTATACCCCCTCCCTCTCCCTCCTATACCCCTCCCTCCCTCCCTCCCTCTCCCTCCCCCTCCCTCCCTCCCTCCCTCTCTATACCCCCCTCCCTCCCTCCCTCTCCTATACCCCCCTCCCTCTCTCCCTCTCTATACCCCCCTCCCCCTCTCTACCCCCCCCCCCCTCCCTCCCTCCCTCCCTCCCTCCTCTCTATACCCCCTCCCTCCCTCCTCTCTAACCCTCCCCTCCCTCCCCTCCCCTCCCTCTCTATACCCCCTCCCTCCCTCCCTCTCTATACCCCCTCCCTCCCTCCCTCTCTATACCCCCTCCCTCCCTCCCTCTCTATACCCCCTCCCTCCCTCTCTCTCTATACCCCCCTCCCTCCCTCCTCTCTATACCCCCCTCCCTCCCTCCCTCTCTATACCCCCCTCCCTCCCTCCTCTCTATACCCCCCTCCCTCCCTCTCTCTCTATACCCCCCTCCCTCCCTCTCTCTCTATACCCCCCTCCCTCCCTCCCTCCCTCTCTATACCCCCCTCCCTCCTTCTCTCTCTATACCCCCCTCCCCTCCCTCTCTCTATACCCCCCTCCCTCCTTCTCTCTCTATACCCCCTCCCTCCCTCTCTCCCCTCCCTCCTTCTCTCTCTATACCCCCCTCCCCTCTCTCTCCTCTATACCCCTCCCTTCCCTCCCTCCCTCTCTATACCCCCCTCCCTCCTTCTCTCTCTATACCCCCCTCCCTCCCTCTCTCCCTCCTTCTCTATACCCCCCTCCCTCCTTCTCTCTCTATACCCCCCTCCCTCTCTCCCTCCTTCTCTCTCTATACCCCCCTCCCTCTCTATACCCCCCTCCCTCTCCTTCTCTCTCTATACCCCTCTCCCTCTCTCTCTATACCCCCCTCCCCCTCTCTATACCTCCCTCCCTCCTTCTCTCTCTATACCCCTCTCCCTCTCTCTATACCCCCCTCCCTCTCTATACCCCCCTCCCTCCTTCTCTCTCTATACCCCCCTCCCTCTCTCCCTCCCTCCTTCTCTCTCTATACCCCCCTCCCTCCCTCTCTCCCTCCCTCTCTCTCTATACCTCTCTCCCTCCCTCCCTCTTTATACCCCCTCCCTCCCTCCCTCTTTATACCCCCTCCCTTCCTCCCTCTTTATACGCCCCTCCCTCCCTCTTTATACCCCCCTCCCTCCCTCTTTATACCCCCTCCCTCTTTATATCCCCCTCCCTCCCTCTTTATACCCCCCTCCCTCTCTCTTTATACCCCCCTTCCCTCCCTCTTTATATCTCCCTCTCTCTCCCTCCCTCCCCCTCTCTTTATACCCCTCTCTCTCCCTTTCTTCTCCCCTTCTCTCTTTCTCTCTCTCTAATTCCCCCCCCTTTTCTCCTGTGTTCTCTCTCTCACTGACTTCTCCCCTTTTTTCACTCTCCCCCCCCCCCCCCCTTCACCCTCTCCCTCTCTCAATTGCCCTCTCTGTTTCTCCCCTTCTCTCTCCTTTTTTCCCCCTTTCTCTCTTCTTCCTCTCTCTGTCTTCTCTCTCCCTTTCTTCATCTTTTCTCTTCTCTCCCTCTGGCTTTTCCCCTTTTTTCTCCCTTTCTTTCCCTTTTCCCTATCCCTGTTGTTTCCCCTTCTCTCTCTCCCCCTCCTATCTCTCCCTTATCTTCTCTCCCTTTAGGTGCAACACGATTGCTTTGCAGAGTTCAGCCTGGGCTTTCTTGTCTTAACAAAAAAATAGTTCTCATGTTTCAAGATCTAGTTTTAAAATAATGACCACCAGAGGTTTGATTGTAATTGCTTGCACTAGTCTGTTATATTGCGCCCCCCCAAAAAAAACTCCATGTACAATGCTATTTGAACAGTAATTACTATAATGGTAGTTTCAGAAACTGCAAAAGCTTTTTTTTGGCAGTGCTAAAGTGGCAGTCTTTTCTCAGAAAGTGCTGCAGTCAAAGAAAAGGTCATTGGTAAAGGTGTTGAGATCATGATGTGCTGCAGCATGCAGTGCAGTTTGTTTACAGGTAATGTGCTGCTGCCAACAAATAATAAATTGTAATGCAGTCTTGTGATGTTGGAGCTGAAGATATTCTGGTTTATAACTTTACCCTGTACATCACTGTCATCTTTATTATTGTTTCAGCAGCGCTCCAATCCCATCTTTACTGTGCTCCATGAATCTGCTGCATAATGGAGTAACAGTCAAAATGAAATTTTTTGTTGTTGTGGGGTGGCAGGGAAAAAATTGTATGTTCTCTGCGACAGAAGTCTAGCGCTGAGTTTATAATTCAGTCTCTGGGTATACATGGTGTTTATAGACCCTTGTGATTTACTATATGATTTGCTGCCAGCCTTCTGTTGTAACATGTATACTGCTAATGGATAAATGATGGAAAGCAAAATAAAATTATCCTGCCTGATAAAACGCCACATCAACATATTTTTTAAAAAAAATGTTTTAATTTTTTTGTTGTTGATTCCCTAGCAGGAGGTCCAATTAAGTTGGCAGAATTGTTTTGTTTCCACTCCCCTGACATTTTCTTTCCCAAGTGAACTGCGATGCCTGGCTAAATTATTGTCTTTGTAGTAATTTATTTTATTCAGCTTGTATTACGCTTAAGGATTCCAGAAGCATTCCTGCACTGCCATTTTGTGTTTATTCAGAGGAGACCATATTATTAAGAAATTCTGTTACAGTTCTTTGCATTCTGCATTCCAATTTATAATGAGCATTGGAAGTTCATAGAGGCTTTTTTTTCAGATAATGTTACGGTTGTGATGAAAAAGATGTAGATTAAAAATCTGTAAAAACTTGACATTCAGCACGAGAAGGGTTATCTCATCCAGCAGATTTTTGATCAATCGCAGACCAAGCCTCATTGCAGTAAAAATTTAATATGGCGGACCCATTATAAACCTGCATTTGTTTTTTATTAGCCCTTACTAGTTGAGAATGGATCTTTTGCTACGCCCCTTGCTGAATACACAATATACTATTCCTTTTCAGAAAACGTATTGTGGCAATTTACCAATGAGTTGAGGTTAAATCCTCATGACGAACAAACATATTTACTTTTTTTGACATTGGTGGGATCTTATAAGAAATAAGTGCAAAAAGTGTTTGACAATCAAATAGTGATGTTTTTTGTTGCTGAGTGTCCAGTGTCTCATTGTTTCGGTTTCTGATCAGTTGTGAAACTGACTTGACTGTTTTTGCTTTGGTGGGCAGTATTCATTTTGACTGTCCTATAATCTTTGTGGAGCAGTATTAATTCTGATGTCACTGAAACTTTTGTAAGTTTGCAGGGATAGCTTTATCCCAGGAATTACTGCCATATTTATAGATTGGGAACAAAGCCTGTTTTTTTTACAGTGGGGGAAATTGGTTTCAAACTGTGCTTTTATGCCCAAAAGAATGCTGAAGTTTACCTGTTGTTCAGAACACTTAAAGCACAAGTTGTTCAATATGGGTGGGAACCATTGAAATCTTATACCCTGAAACCATAGCACCTTAGCAGTTCGATGTTGATTCGTATTTGTTAATATAATCTCTAGGAATTTCAGTGGTAGTTGCTGTCTGGTGACCTATTTCTAACAAGGGGTTATAAGGGTGGCTGCTAAATCCATGCAAGTTGTCAGGGCTTAAAAAGAAGAGGAGCCTAACGGCTAAATGCTTTTCACTCAGAAGCAATTGCTTTTATAATCTTGTCCATTGTAGAGCATAGCACTGGCTGAAAATCACATTTTGAGAATATTAATGCAGATTTTCTCTTCAAAACATGACTTGTTAAGCTTTTGATTGCATCTAACCTTTGCTTTTAGTGTACCATCTAGCTGAGGAAACTTGGGAGCTAAGCATGTTGCTTGTTTTACAAACCTTTGTGGCCTCTTATGTTAACACTTTTATGCTAGTGATTGGGAGCGGGAAGGGAGAAAAAGAAGCCTAGGTTCTTAATCAATCTTCCATCATTATTAATAGTTTGCAATATCCTCTCCAGCACGCTGCTCCCTCTAGCCATAAGCACAGATGACAGTTGTCAGTGTGTCTGTATGATCAACCAGCAAGAGACATGACTTGAGTCAGGATTGCCTGTTTTCTTCCTATTCCTCCCCACATTATTCTCTGTAGTAATCTGACAAAAACATCAAATTCAAGTTGAGTGAATTAAATTTTTTAAAAAACTTTTATTCTGGTACTAGCTTACACAATCTTGATTCAAATGTCCAAGTACACACGCACAAATTTCGTAAAAATCTCTATTCATACAACTCGTTTTCAGTACGAAGCCTCTCACAGCTGTTATATGTTTTGTATGCTTGTTTATTTTGGGTGGGGGATTTTGCTGTTTGGGTAGTGGTTAGGGTGAAAAGAGAGATGAGAGGTATTATCTTTCAAGAAGTATGGTAGGATTTTTGAATAGGTACAGAGAATAAACCAATAAATTGATAGATCTGCTTTAGAGTGAGTAGTGTATAGTGAGTTATAGTGAGTTAGTTGGCATGACATAGGGTAGATAGTGTGAGACAGTTTCCCATGGTTGGAGAATCTAAAACTAGGGATCATAGTCTCAGGATTAAAGGTCAGTCCTTTAGAACTGAGTTGAGAAAACATTTCTTCACTCGGAGGGTAGTGAAGTTATGGAATTCTCTACCCCAGAAGGCTGTGGATGCTCAGTCATTGAACATATTCAAGACTGAGATCGATAGATTTTTAAAAACTAAAGGGATTAAGGGATATGGGGATAGGGCGGGTAAATGGAATTAGGTTAGTAGATCAGCCATGATCTTATTAAAAGGCGGGGCAGGCTCGAGGGGCTAAATGGCCTACTCCTGCTCCTATTTCTTATGTTCTTATGACATGACTTAGTCAAGTTATAGCATGAAAGGTTGGATTTTTGGGAGTATGGTAGCACTGGTCCTGCCACTTAACACTTCTCAACCAAATGGATCAAAGTGTTGTGCTTATCGGTCATGCAGCAGTTCAAGTGTTTGTCTCCTTTGCCTCCCTTAAGAAATGAGGGAAATGAAATTTGTGAAAGTCAGACTTTTGAGAAGGTGAATTTAGTTAATTTAGAATGTCTGGACACTTGTTTACCTGAGAAAACAGATGCATTTTTCTTCAAACAGTAATTTTGATTGTCTCGATCAGTGTTGTCTTCCTGGGACAGGCAGTTAATGCCGTTGCTTAGCCCAACTGTGCTGTGGATTTAAGTCTTATTGGTAACTGACACTCCAACACCAACTATGGTATGTGTGTAATTTCTCAATGGGCAGCTGGTAATGGAAGGCGGAGACCCTGAGGGTAAAATAGACTGGCACATCAATGATTGTGCTACAGGAAATATGCAACCTGTCATATTGGAGCACAAATGTGTCCATTCCCCTGATACTCATTGTGCTATCCTGGCATTTTATCTGTTATATATTTTAACATATGGGTATATAAGTGTGTATAATACATCTCATTTGATGCATCCATTTTCAATTGGAGCGGGAATGAAATAGGGATCGTGATTGTTAAATTGAGGAATAAACCATTTTTAACTTTACAGTGACCACACCATGCAATCTGGGTTGCGCACCAAATAATACTTGTATTGATAATGGACAGTACAGGGTGACCAAAAAGTTGTGATAACTACCCTATTATCTAAAAAGCTCATTTTTTCAGACTTATTAGATATTATAATGGTATCACAACTTTTTGGTTACCCTGTACTTGCTCTTTGTTTCCAGTAGGACCTTTAGGCTTTGTCACAAAGTGAGATTTCTGATCTATGCCAAGAGTTCATGCACTTCAGAAGTAAATGAAGATTACCAAGCTAGTTTCATTTGAGACTTTTGTGTTGAAGGGAATTCATAATTCATTTGTTTTTTCTTGATTGAAGTTAAATCTAGTGGATAGGCTGAGAAATGTCGTGGTATTTCCTTGAAGGTCACGGTTTCCCTTGCTTCTCGCTCCCCTCACGTAGCGTACCAAATTAACAGACATATTGCTGATCCTTTGTTAGCTCGAATCTTTGAAGAAGATAACTAAACAGAAACAAACTGATGTTGGCAGAACACATTCTCCCTGCCTTTTGTGCTTAATATGACTGTGTGCTAAATATGGTATTTGTCAGTTAATAGCTGTTAGCTGGCAGACTGCAGCTGTCCAAAAGAAAGATGTGGCCTCAGTAAATGAAGCAAATGCAGTGTGCTTTAACCAGATTTCGGGCAGTTTAATCCATGACTTGCTTGCTAGTTTTTTTTTGGTCAATGCCTCTCTGCTCATTGTAGAGCATGCCCAATTCAAATTATAATGCAGGAAATTCTTAGTTATCAGTACCATCAAATGAAAGATGGGGGTCTTAGAGCCCCCAGTACTAATCAAGAATGCAGTCGACTAAGATAATTTCCAGATCTACTGCAGACCTTACCATAGGCAAAAGATTTCCAGAATGACAGGCCTGATGTTTTATGCATATAATATTTGTCAGCACTGGTGTTTTTTTGTTTCAAAATCTCAAATTGTGCGCAGTCTTGTATGAAAGCACAGATGTTGGTATGCATAATGTATGTAAACTGCTATCTCCTTCCACAATTCATGCCATTGTGTGAAATTCTGGACTAAAAATAAGTCTGGGCAATGCATTTGTGAAAGGAGTAAATGTGAAAGGCAGAATGTTGAGTATTAAAACCATGCGATGAATCGGACATATTAGGTAAGCCTTATTTATGATTGTATTTTCTAGTACAAAATGGCAGAGGAAATGTTGGTTTTATTACTTTTTCAAAATCAGCACAATGCGAATGAGCCAGTGCTTCCTTGATTCAATTAGGTACAAGCATTGAAGGAATATTTAATTCAGGCTGTTAGTGGAAACAAAATTCATGAACTTCTGCTTCATTAGTGGAAACGGAATTCATGGACTTAATTGGTTTCCCTACTTCCCTTCTCTACATATTAACTATTTGTTGGAGAGATGCGTAAAATGTTTTACTCCCGTTCATCATTATATTCTTTGAAACTTTGCCTTTTGAAGCTTTGCGCGTTTGACTTTGGGTGGTGAGCTGTCATTGTACTTGATTATTTCATGTGCCAATTTTCTTTTGCAGAATTTCTTCAGGATTAAATAGTGAGGCTGGTCTAGATGTCGACTCCTACAGATTCCTCTGGTGGGATGCCTCACCCTGGACCATCTCCAGGACCATCTCCTGGACCCATTCTAGGCCCGAGCCCAGGACCAGGCCCCTCACCAGGTTCAGTACACAGTATGATGGGTCCGAGTCCTGGGCCTTCAAATGTAACGCATGCAATGACACCTCAGGGCCAAAGTGACTACCAGCAGGACAGCATGCACCAGATGCACAAGGTAATACTTTCAAAGAATTGTTGAGAAGTATAATTACGTGTGTTGAAACAAAGGCTGTATTGTTTAATATTGAATAGACTAAATGTTTGTGTGTTTTTTCATGCGGTCAATGCTAGACCTCCAAACTTGGTATTTCTATAATGTTGAAGTAACAAGTTCTTTTCTGCTCAAGTTTACCACTCGGAATGCTAACTTTTCAAGATAGCACATTGTTTTGTGTGGGTAGTAATCCATCCATCCAGAAACCTAGGGAGGAGTCATCAACTGCTGGTATTCACTTCAGAGTGCAGCTAAGAGTTTGATTTGAAACCACTATCTTATCAAAAGTGATCTGGAACTGGTGACTGGATGGGTAAAGTTTCTAAAGGGAATGGCTCCTACTGCAACCAGTGATAGATCAATTGTAGTAACTAGCGATTTGATAGATTGTTGACACTGGGTGAATCTAATAATAATCCTTGTATTTGATATAGTGCTTTTCACGTCTTCTAGACGTCTTAAAGCGCTTCACAGAATATGCTGTAAAGTGAATTTACTGTATATTTGTGGGCAAAACGCGGCAGCACAGCAATGTCCCACAAACAGTCGTGGATTGAAAATGACCAATTTATTGTTTTGTTTTTTGGAGGGATGATTATAGTCATCCAGGAAAAAATCCCAGATTTCTCAGTGGAAAAGAACAAACTAACACTTGTTACCAGTGAAGATGGCTACATCTTTTCTGTATTGTCTCCCAGTTGCAGTTAATAGCAAGAGATTGTTGTTCCAATCTATTTCCTTTCCCTTAAAAAAAGTTTTGTGAGAGGGAAAAGGAATAAAGAGAACTTAGTTTATTTTAGTTTCATGCAGGTTTCATACTCTGCATTTTGCTCAGTCTGGAGTAGAAGCCACTTTGTCTTCCTCCCGATCTGAAAGGCGCTTTATAAATGTAATTTTGTTGTTGTTGTTGTTGTCTTCTCTTTACCCACTCCTTTCCTGCCTTTTCTTTCTTTTTCTCTCCCCCCACCCCCCCCAACTCTCCCTGGTAGTTTTCCAGTCATAGTGACTGCTGTATATGAAATTTTACATAAAAGGAAAAGAGGAATACTTTTTGTCCAATTTGAAGGCGCATTGTGACATAGCGCCATATCCATTACCTGTAGCCCAAAGTAGCCAGCAAGGTTGTCTGCTATGAAATTACTGCAATTAAAGAGCAATTGCAATGTTTTTTAAAAAAAAGTAGCCTGAAGGTGACTTGCCATTAGACTTATCCTTTTTTCCCATGGAAGCATTTAACCTTCCCTGGGTATCACTCTATAGCACCAGACTGAATTTGGGAATTTGGCTCTGGGGAAATTGCAACTGCAAACACAAGTTATATCGTTCCATATTGCCATACCTTGTTGCTGAACCACTGTGAGTCTATGTAATATATTTATTCCACTGCAGCCTGATATTTGCCTCCAGAATGAATGCTTGGCACAAAGGATTGCCTTGTGATTATGTGTCTGTCCAGTTAACTGAAGGTTGCTGATAACACCTAATTGAGAGAGTGCTAAACCTTATACAATATTCAGAAACCAGAAGGGGTTGGAGGTGAGGACATTGTATGTCTAATTACAGCACCTCAACTGAATGAGATAATATTCCCCGAATTGTATTTTTAATTGCTATTTTTTCCAAGTTGCATTTCTTCCCATGAACCTATGTGCAAATTTGAGACTGTGATTCTTTTGAAAATTCTAGAGAATAGTTTCTAAAAAGATTTGTTTCACAGGGCATACGAATTTTCAACACAATTAAGGGGCTGATTTTTTTTGTTTGTACGGAAATTTTCTGAGTGCTTGTGTAGCAATCACTATATTGTAATGTCACTTAAGCATACAAGTATCACCACAAGAATTAAATGTGTTTTGGGACTATATATTTTATTTGAGATGAAGACTTGTAGCCTTGAGTTTTTTTTAAATTATGATGATTTCTGTTTAAATTACTCTGCAAGAGTTATGTATTCAGACTAGGGAATGAGGTAGTTCCTAATTCAAGCACATCATCCTCTTCTCGTTCTTCACTCCCCACCCTCCATTGAGTTTAAGGGCAGATTGGAATTTTGCAGATCTTGCTCTATAACCTTACTGGTTCAGTATACTCCAGCTTTTGAGAGGCAATGGTGGTGATCTTAAACATTGTGCAATGCAGTACAGTATTCATATTTCACCAATGTTTGCTACATGGAGTCCTGTAGCTCAGTGGTTAGAGCACTCGCCTTGCAAGCGAGACATCTGGGTTCAATTCCAGGCAGGGCAAAACCTTGGGCAAGTTTCCTTACTCCACACGCCTGATAATAATCTCTCCAAAAAACAAAAACAGAACAAAAAAAATAAGAAATTGGTCATTTTCAATCCACGACTGTTTGTGGGACATTGTTGTGCGCATTTGGCTGCCGCGTTTTGCCCACAAATATACAGTCAATTCACTTTACAGCATATTCTGTGAAGCACTTTGAGATGTCGAGAAGACGTGAAAAGCGCTACATTTAAATGCAAGGATTATTATTATCACTGGGGTGGGAGAAGTATTGTTATCAGCTCAAGTATTTCACGATAGATTTATAGTTTTTCATTATCCACAGTTTAGTGTCACAGGCAAATAAGAATTGATATCATTTATTTGAGCACAGCACTATGATAGGGCTGTGGCTATGCATCTATAACTTTCCAGTTAGTGGGTTCCCAATCTCAACCTCACAATTGTACAGGTGCAGGGTAGATGGTAAGTGCCTCATCCAAAGGATGTGATAACTAGAGGAAGCTATCCTGGATTATTCTTGTACAACTGTTGCTATCTGTCAATATTGAGGAGACTTAGGAGCAATTGCGCTGCATTCCTTCTTGGTCTTAATATGGATTAAAAGGGAAATCCTGTACAAAATGATAGATTTTAATGGGAGCTTGCATTTTTATAGCATCAAATGAATCACTTCAGTGTCTCAAAGTGCTTTGCAGTAATTATTAAGTGTAGTGACTGTTGGTGGGGGTTGGGTCTTTCATTCGGCTTATGTAGCACAGTTCAAGTTCCTATCTTTGTGAAAGAAAGGGTTGTGGAATCAGCACAAGTATCAAGTCTTCATGTGATGCAATTATCTGGGACTTGTTCACAAGAATATTCACTGTTTTTAGTAAAGTGAAGCCATTAGCTGACTCGCTTTGTTTTATCATTATTCAGTTAGCTATAACTGCAGTTCAAAACTTTTCCAGTGAGTGAGTTTGCCTGTATTTGATGCTGTTTAAACGAATTCTCATCCCAACCTGTAAGTATATTATTTATGTTCCAAAACATAATCACTGCGTTCTCTTGGTTTGGTTCTTCATAGCCTATGGATGCAATGCATGACAAGGGCATGGCTGAAGAAATGCATTACGGTCAGATGAAAGGCATGGGCATGAGGCCTGCTCATGCTGGAATGGGCCCACCTCAGAGTCCTATGGACCAGCATTCTCAAGGTATGTTGAATAGTTTGCATTGCATTCATTTTTATGCATTGAGTGTATTTGTATCTACTGCTAATCTTTTATTTTCCATAATTTCTTTGTTAACAGTTCCCTTTACAGCCATAACAATCACTACAATGTTAGTAGAAACAATGGCTTCTATAATATTTTCATTATTAATGCTAGTTTCGCAGTCTAGAACAATGTAGCATATTACAATCTACAATAGAGAGATACTTATTTGCATTAATTTTGTCAAACCCCATTGTGGATCAGCAAATAGTGCAGATAGTCATCGCAAAAAATACGAATTGGCTGCACTGGGCATTGGGGACTGACGTTTCAAGCTTATCCAGAAAACCCAGTTGCAAATCCCAGATATTTTAACTTCCATTTGCCTTAATAAGTGGGTTTACACTGAATTAAAGAGTTAATTTTAAAACAAAATGAGGAACCTATATTAATTTAGATTTAGAGTGGACATGATTCAGATCTTAATTGGTGAGCAAAATGAATAATTTAGTTAAATAGACCATCTAATTTGAAACTGTTAGCATACAAAGTACAGTGATATGATATTCAATATAGACTAGACTTTTGTCCTCTGTAGATCAACTATCTATGAAATTACTCTGCAAAAGTAGTTCATGCTATATTGGTTATGCCTATATATATATTTTTTAAAAAGGCTGTAAACATAGTGACCACAAATGAATCACTTGTGCAGTGTAACTGGTTAGGGTTGAATAGGGGAAGTTGTGAGACTTGATTAATATTCTTTACTTTTGCTCAGTATTCCTTGGAGATCCATGAAAATTTCATAAAGCTTTAGTTTAAATATTTACCCACAGTTTGAAATGTCCCTAGGGAGTCTGAGTGCATTGGGTATCCACGCAGTTGATGCACTGGTCTTGTTCCTTCCCTTGATTTCTTATGAGTACAGCAGTACGGGTCTGGGAAGGCAACAGAAGATGGAAAGTACAGTACTTAGTTTAGAAGCTGTGAAGAGAATTCAGCGCTGAAGGGAAAGGTAACTTGTTGTTATTTAAGCACGCAGTACACTTGTTTAAGTAATTTATGTGCTTTTGAATCTGGCAAAATAATTCTAATCTGCACAGGATATATGTCTCCTCATCCATCTCCGATGAGTGTACCAGAACATGTGCCTAGTCCGCTTTCAGCGGGTGGCCCCACTCCTCCTCAGATTCCACCAACTCAGACTGTTCCGATGATGCAAGGAGACCCTCAAGCTATGCCTCAGCAGAACAGAGGCACTTCACCCTTCAATCCAGTTCAGCTTCACCAACTGAGAGCTCAGATTCTAGCATACAAAATGCTTGCAAGAGGTCAACCTTTGCCTGATAACCTACAGCTTGCTGTTCAGGGAAAGCGGTCACTACCCAGTATGCCACAACAGGCAGCCCCAGTTGCCTACAACAGACCACCCAGTAAGTACACATTTTAAGTTTCCTTTCTTTTCAGACTCAGAAGTAATTCATTAAGAGGTTTTTATATTGCAAAGTTATTTTCAATTATTGAAGATTGCAATTGATCTTAAAAAAAATTGCAGTTTAATTGTTTTCATTCTTAAGCACCTTTAATGAGATTCCATCATAACTCTACAGTAGATTTATATAGCCAATTAGTCTGTATTTCCAATGACTGTTGAAATATTTGTAGAATGTAATAGATTCAATAATGTTATTCTGGTGGGTTTATATGGCTATCTTAAGATATTATAGCAGAATTCCATAGCTCTATCTTGTTGCTAATTTGTGGCTATTCATTGATTTAAGGATTAAGCTTAGTAAAGTTCATGCTAATGAAATTCTATATGTTCCTTTGGAAGGAATGGCTAGATTGGTTGGCTGAGTGAATTCTCACATTCTTATCCCAGATTTAAATCTTCTCTGGTTTAATGTGTTTAGCCTAAATACAGTACCCTTTCATATGTAATTTTGTTTCTGTCATACATTTTAAACTCTTTCGCCCGCTTCCCGAAGACACTGCCTTAGGCTGAGGCACAGGTCCCAAGCATCGGTTACCCTCCTGTGTATCAATAAGAAACTAATTTTCATGCGTTAGCCCAAATGTTGGCAGACTATTTGGCCAAAGAGTTATTAAAGCTGAGCCTAATCCTGATGTTGATGCATGACTTTGTTTCGGCAGGGGTTCACTGAATAGTGATTAGAATTGGGAGCTCTGATTGATTTTTCTACTCGCAGAGCTGCAATCGGGCTACTTAGCACAGACCAGGGATTGCTTTACTAACTAGCAATGGGGAGGTTGCTTTTTTGTTTTTAAAAAATCAGATTAATGGATTTTATATATGGTAAATATACTCCTGAATTCAGAAAACATTAATTCACCCAAAGGATGAGAGAATGTGGAATTTACTGCTCCAGAATCAATGCAGATGCAAAATTAATCAATGCTAACCTTCAAAATATGCACAGTCCACTTGACAGTAAAATCCAGTGAAACGCTTTAAGATGTCCCCCTGATGTAAAAGGCACTTTATCAAAAGCAAGAATTGTTGTGATATATTTAAGAGGAAAATAACTATAGGTATTGTGTGGAGGATATGAAGATGAGGTACGCAAACGCAGTTGGAACGATAAAGAGCTACCGTAAATTTATTGAAACGGCGCAGTAGTTCGCTGAACTAAATTGCCAACTCCCAATCCTATTGTAAGGCAGAATTGAAAGATTAGATATTATCCTATTATATAGCAATTCTGTTCTGGGAAGAGCTGATCTCTTCAATGAGTGGAATTGAATGTGATTGTTTTCTAAGTCTGATAGTATAAACGACTATTGTACATATTATGCAAATGATGTAATGAAGTCCATTTGCACACATGAGCATTTTGATAGCTAACCACAAAATATATTTCAGGATGAGTTTATGATTTTGATGTGGATTATTTCTAAAGGTAGCACATTTTGAATGGTTATTGATATCAATAGCAGTGAATCCTTAGTATGTAGAGTTGAAGTTTTCAGCATCCATTTTATAATGTAGAAGTACATTTCCACTTGCTATGATTGATGGCATTTTCAACATTTATGATAATGGCAGCAACAGACAGGAAAGAACGTCTCAGCTACCTCAAATTACAATTGAAATTAGACGAATTTAGATCAAATGTTTTGGAAAGTCTGGATGACTGTTGTTCATTAGTAGTCAATTTTATTTTAAGTGCTTTGAGAGTATTTTACATGAAAGGCACTACTTAAATACAAATTGTTAATGCATTTCTCCATTTATGCTTTCTACTTTTTTTTAAAAATCTGCCCATTTTAAATTATTCTTCATCGAATGGCTAAACTATGAAGTGCCCGGAAGATCGGTTCCTAATTGTGGGAAGGAAATGGACTGGCCCTTAACATTATACAGAAGATCCTTGTGATGCATGGTCTAGTAATTGTTGATATGCGTTCAATTGAGTTACAACTGAATTGGAGTCTGCAATTTATTTTTAATGCTTTGGCTGCATTGTCCACAATGAATTTCATTGTGCGTATTGACAAAACGGGGAGCGAGGTAGGAAAGATTGCCATCTTACAACTATCATTTTTTTGGGGTTACTTTTTTTTAATAGTGAGAACCTAAATTATGCTATTTTTAAAAACCTGGATATCTGAGAAGCTATTTATCAAGCACAAGTACTGTACATATTTTCATGCCGCATTGCATGTACACCATGGAGTTTCCGTTGTAAGTCTGCTGCCATGTAATTAAGGGCATGCTGTACACAGGTTTCAGGTGGGTCAGATCCTAATTATCCAAATTAACTAGTTATTGAATGTTATCTAAGCCTCAGAGGCACATTTGAATATTTTCCACAATAAGTGTATCAACTCCCTACGGTAACCTGGTGTTCATTCTGTATGAGTGGCTTTTGGCAACTTGCCAGCAGCGCTATAAATACAGCTGAGCAATATCTCTGATCCTTTGTCAAAATGCTCATGATCGGTACTTCTTGGTGCATTTTAAAGGGATTTAGTTTGTAAAATATCCGTTAACTTTCTAAATCTATAACTTTCAGCACATTCTAATGACATAGATTCAATGCATTTTCCCACCGAGAAGTTATGCCTGTATAATGATTGGACATTTAGAAGTAATATAAATCCTATGTGGGGTTTAGAACCATTTTGCCCATACTTGGAAATCTTCCACCATTCACCTCGGTTAAATTTATTCTTTTATGCAGTTATGCCAAAGTGCCTTTGTGTATAAACTCTCCTGTCCTACTTATACATAGGACTGAATACAATTTCGTAGCAAGCATTTTTTACTTTGTATGTTATTAGTGCTCGTTATACAACGGTGACCATAAATATCTGGGTATTGAAACCGAGATCAGCATTTGTTTTAGGATTATGCAAATGAGATAATCTAACTAATTTGTTTTTATAAAAAAGTTACCTAAATGCGCTTTATATATAAAAATATGTTTACAAAGAGCTAATAAATTTTCAGAATCATTAGATGTTTCAAATATCAAGTTCCAGTATTTTGCAGGCAGCATCCTTATTGAGCTGACTAAGAAGATTTTGACTGATAAATTTAGGTCCAGATTTGTGCAGAATAAAAAGAAATCTCCATTTTGTTTGATGTGTTCACCATAAATACTAAAAGGAGTCCTTGTAAAATGGTTTCCAGTTTTTAAAATCTATAAATCATTTATGCCATGTTTATTGCTGTCTCCACTTGATTCATGTAGTTTTTTTTGTTTCAGTGCTTTCTGTACTTTGTTTTGATTATTATTGTCATGCTTCTGATCTCTCCCTAATACAACAACAACAACAAGATTCCATTTATAGAGCGCCTTTCACGTCGGGAGGACGTCCCAAGGCGCTGTACAGTTGGGTCAGGACCCGAGCAGGGGGGAAATGGTCAGGGTGAGGGGAGGGAAGGGAGGGAGCGAGGAGGGGGTAGAGAGTCGAGAGGGGAGCTGAAGGCACGGTCAAAGAGAAAGGTCTTGAGACCGGCCTTGAAGGAGGAAAGGGAGGAGGCGGCGAAGGCACTGGGGGATAGAGTTCCAGAGCCTCGGGGCTGAGAGGCTAAAGGCCCGACCACCGATGGTAGGGCGGTTGGGGCGGGGAATGTGGAGCAGACCGGAGCCAGAGGAACGGAGGGTACGGGCAGATAAGTAGGGGGATAGTAGGTCAGAAAGGTAGGAGGGAGCAAGGCCGTGGATGGCCTTGTAGGTGAGGATAAGGATCTTGAATTCGTAGCCTTGGCTATGAAACCCGTATGTTGCTGGGTTAGAAAATCAGCAGTGAAATTGAGTTGTATTTTTCTCACTCACCTGGGTTACCAGATGTGCATTTAATAAAACTAAACAAAACCCATTTTAGTCTCCTTTACCCAATTAACCCACATATCTGACAGGATATGAGGATATTATCTTGGCAGTCCACTGCTTTCGGAAATTCTCACTCTTGCACTTTTGGTCCTGTAATATTTCTTTACATTATAAGCCCATTCTCTCTTGAACCAAAGTGCACTTTTTGCAAACTGGGATTGAATTTGCTTAGTGGTCTGTTCTTCTAGAGGGTTCCAGGGAAGGGATTTCTCCCCAACCATAACCTTTCCTTGAGTGTTCTGGTGAATTCCATAGTCCTTCTGAGTACAACCTCGTTTCATCCACAAAATACACAACCCAAACCACCTTACAGTATATCCTGTGAAACACTTTGGGACATCTCGACTGTGGTAAGGTGTTAAATCAAATGCAAGGATTATTATTATGGATAATTTAATATTACCACAGGGATAAAGATGAAGGTCCTTTGTTCATTCAGCCTCATCCTTCCAGAATGCCCACTTTATCCTTTTCAGCATTCTTAAGAGTCCGGCATTCTGGACTCTAGTAACCTTTCTGATAACCTGTTCTGGCTGCTGAATACACTTTGTAAATAAACCGTTCCTGTGTCTGTCTTAAAATAATCTTTCATAACCTTGAACCTCTGCCCTGTTGTCCTGCCACCTCATTATAACTGAAAGTATTGTTCTGGGCTTACTTTCTCTATTCCATTCAGCATTCAGTCTTCATCCATAAGACCTCTCTGCGAAGTCTCCGTTTTCTTGAGGCTGAAGAGTCCAGTCTTATATAGTCATTCCTCAGTTTATTCATGTGAGCATAGGTGATCAGTGACATTGTTCTCTGCACTGTCTCTGGAACTTGGGTGCTCTCTATATTGAGAACATAGGATTGTATGCAACCCAGAACTGTATGCAGTACTTCAGCTGGAGTGTAAATACAGTAAGAGCATTTCTTTTGGAGACTTGAATTAATGTACAATTCATTATGCTGTTTATGTTCTTTATTGCTGCATCACTGTACATGGTGAGTGAAGAATCCATTAACAACCTAGTTATATATATATATCCTCCCATGAATTTCTAGATAAATGCAGTACCTTGTGTCTGGATTGAACTTAATTTTCCAGTGATCAGACCAGGTGTATACTTTATTGAATTCTTGTAAAATCTTGGCTGCCTCCTCTGATTTCACAGTCCTCCCTGGATTGGTGTCACCTACAAATTTAACAAACTGTCAGCAATTCAATGTTTACGTTCACAAGGTAAAGAGGGTTCCCAACCGACCGTTCAACACCTCTCCCCTTTTTGGCATAGCTACTTTTTCCCTTTAGTCATATATATATATATATATATACATATTTTACCCTTGATAGTCAGTTACATATGTTTGTAAAGGAGTTTCTTGGGTGGTACTTTGTTAAAACTTTGTGGAATGCTAGATTCATATGGCTTCCTAATGTCAGGTTGAGTATGGTCCTTATTTGACCTCATCCTTTCAGAATGCCAATCCTAAAGTCTTTCCATTACACCATCAAGCTGTTTAAGAGCTTGATAGGGAATGATCTCAACCACCCTTTGCGGTAAACTGTTCTAGTTGTTTGTTCTCCATGAAGGAATACTTCCCAGTGTTTTGTCCTCAACTATCTAATCACAACCCTGAACCTTGGAGTATCCGTGTACATGAACAAAATAAAACGTACTGAGTTTAGTCTGTTCCGAAATAAATTAAAAAGTGCAAACTCCCAACGCTGCTGCTTTGAGTCAGTCCAGTGTAGAGAGTTAGTACCCCCAAAAAATAATTCTTGGTGAGTGGTTGCTGAGATATTCCTGCAGAAGTCAAAACCCTAAGTAGCTCGTCTTGATACCTGTCAATATCCTGTATTTTGTTTGTTTACACAATGCCTCTCAAAAGCAGGATCCTTCACAAGGAAAGTAAATCCTTCTCATGAATATTGGTTGACCCCACAATGTGTTTTTGGGTACTACTGAAGCCTAACCAGCTAAACTGCGCAACCTGCCATTGTGAAGATTATCTGGAAAGCTTACTGCAACTTGTTTAACTAGACCCCCTACCATGGGTAGGGTTTTACAGGAGCCAAATAAGAATAAACTCACAAGCGATAGGACCTTCAGTTGGAAGTATGTTGTTTTAGTATCACCTGTCTGTGCACATGTCCTAGATTTCACATAATGCATTTAATCAGCTGTCGTTCAAGCCTGTTTCTTTATTAACTGTTTATGGACAACTACCTTGAGCATGGTGGAAGGACCAATATAGGGCACCTTGATGTTTTAGAGGTGCAAGTCCAATGCCATATACCAAGGTTACGTAACACCAACTGTTTGAATCAGGTGCTTTTGAGCAAAGTTTTGGCAAAGAGATGTGCCTGACAGGTCATTGTAGGCTGGAGCCCTCCTTTGCTGTAGCCATTCTCCTTTGTTTTTAACCACAAATGCACCTCACTGATTAGTCCAGGACTTTGTAATTGGGCCAAAGAAACCCTTCTGTTCCATGCCCAGCAGCTCAAAGCCATGAAGGAGAACCTGTTTGGAAATGTATCTTATACCCCGTAAACCTTAGCCTGCATTGGACTCGGTGATCGTTGAAGAGATTATTGATTGGAATGCCCAGAGTGTCCTTTGTTCCTTCTCGGTGTGGTCCAGAACAACTATGTCCAAACAAAAATTAGTGTCCAACACAATCCCCAGATAGTGATACAAATCAGTTGGGATAGATGTTCCTCCTTGTGTTTTCCAATTGATACCTTCTGATCTGATTGGAATTTTCGACTTTCTCAGAATTTGTGAACCTGTGGATTTGTCTGATCTTTGTTGCTCTTAAAACTTTCATTTCAGCAGCTTTTTATTTTATCTTGGTCCAAATTTAAAGTTCATCATAACTTCCTGACTTTTCTATTCTATGCCCCTATTTATAAAGCCTAGTATCCCGTATGCTTTTTTAACAGCTTTATCTTCCTGTCCTGACACCTTCAAAGATTTACTTATATGATCCCCAGGTCTCTGTTCCTTCACTCCCTTTAAGATTATACCATCAGTTTATACTCCTCTCCTCATTCTTCCTCCCAAAATGCATCACTTCGCATTTCTCCACATTAAATTTCATCTGCCACGTGTCTGCCCACTTTACCAGTCTGTCTATGACCATTTGCAGTCTGCTACTATTCTCCTCACTGTTCACTACTTTTCCTAGTTCAGTAGCATCTGCAAACTTGGAAATTGTACTCCCTATACCCAAGTCCAGGTCATTTATATAGATCAAAAATAGCAGTGGTCCGAATACCAACCCCTGGGGGACACCACTGCGCACTTCCCTCCAGTTCACCGCCACTATCTGCTTTCTGTCTCCCAGTCAGGTCTGTATCCATGCTGCCTCTGTATCTTTAGTACCGTGGGCTTCTATTTTGCTTACAAGTCTCTTACGTGGCTCTTTTGAAAATCCGTATAAATTACATCAACTGCACTATGTTCATCCACCCTTTCCGTTACTTCATCAAAAAAAGTTGCAGAACTTACTACTACAACAACTTCCATTTACAGTGTCTCAAGGCACTTAAAGGTAGGTGTCGAAGGCTCAGGCACCAATTTTTTTGTGCGTGTGGAGGGTGGGGGGCGTGGGGAGGACAGGGGGTCGTAAGTGGATTGGGTGTAGCCAAACCCAAGCTGGCTGAGTGGAGGGAACAACCAGTAGGTGTAAAATGGGGGTAGAGGCAAAGATGAATAAGAAGGTGGAAAAGAGCCAAGGATCAAACCGAACCTGAAGAGTACATACTGGCCAAATCATACTAAAGTCTTAAGTATGGTTGGAAGAAAATAAGAATCACTTGTTTCATATGTACTGTTGTTTCTACTGAGTACTTGCCAATCTAGGAAACTGTTTGCATTTAATACATAAACAAAACCTTGGGTAAACTCATTACTGAGCAGAGATTGATAAATAGATGCATTGTACATCTATTTCATATTCCCTGACAGAAGAAAGCCAATTAAAAGAAATGGAAAGCTTGTGCTATGACCCAACATGTGAGGGTTTCTCTTCACACTATCTGCAGTCCACCTATCCAGAGCAATTTGCATCATGATCTCATCATTCAATTTAAGCATTTTGTTCATACTGCAGTGCTCTTGAATTACCCTGAACCTGGAATTCAAGTTGTGCAGACTGTTTCTGCACTAATTTGCTATACTCCTATTAGGATGAATGAAGAAGAAACCTATTGTATCTTTCACAGATGCAGTCTCTGTTCTTTCAAACAGCTCTGACTTCCACCTCCTCATGCAAACCTCCCACTCAGCCTACTTCTTTTGAGCTGCATGAGATTATGCTTTTTCTTGAGTTACTAAGATTAATCTGTATTAGTTGAACCCATTGAGTTTGGGTCTTTGCTGTTACTACTTGTTAAAGGTTTAAGACAAGATCTTGTATTCAGTAAAGTGGGAAAGATCACCTGGTGAGGAAGGACAGTACCTCTAAGTTGTGGTGCCCTGTAGATGTTGCCAAATCGTATTCATCAAAGAGAAAAGTGCAATATTTAGTTTTATGTAATCTACAACGCTGGTAAAAGCACGTAAGGTAATGGGCAAAAGAAAATATAATAATGCTGGGCTAGAAACTGAATAAGTACTGGAGAAACGTGATTTAATAAAGTTGTTTTGGCTCCTGATTAAGATGGTTCAATCTTCTATAAATTCTAGGTATGGGCATGCACTCAATGGCTGGGCAGTCTGCAGGACCTTCACAAGGAATGCCAGGACATGTTCCTAAGCCCTGGACAGAAGGTAATAAATCTTCAAGACAAAGTAATATTTTTGCAAGATATACTTGCTGTGATTTCTGTGCAACACTGAAAAAAGCTGATGGTTAATCTCACAGAATTTCTGGAATTGTTGGGTTTAACCACCGACTAGATGAAGTGTTGAAATGTTCTTTTGTGATGGTAATGTTGAAGATAATCAAAGTAAATCAGCTCGTTTGTTACCAGTGATCTTCCTAATCACTGGTATGCTATATTTAAATTAGATGGTAAGATAACTTTAGTCACATTATAATTATTTGACGTTTTTGTTTCTAAATGTCTTTACACTGCTCTCCTCCATGACGAGCACAAATCTGGGACATCCGTCAGTCTCTGAAAGTAATTCCAGCTAATTTCATTGCATGTTATAAAATGCAACGAGGGGGAAAATATATATATGGATCAAGTTAGTGCTTCACAAAAGTGCTGGTCTTGATAGGAATATGGTCATAAACCTGTCCAGCCATCGTTGGTGGAGACAAGAAGTCTGTAAAATACGCATTTGAATGTTCAAAGGCTCTCTTTATTCATCCTTGCAATTCCATACACTCCTTTCTCTCTCTTTCTGACAGTGAACCAGTTGACCCTGGATTTTAAATGTCTGCATTATTGATGCTTAACTGAACTAATTGATTTAACAACCATAACCTCGTCCCAATTGATATGGATTCCCCGTGATTACTCTGCTGTATTTTCAACTGTGACAATCCTTTCTGACTTTTGTTGTAAATTCAGGGCAAGCTAATGAGATGGGTGTTCCTAATACTCCTCAAAAGATGCCACCTCAGGCTATGTGTGGAAGACCTTCTCCTGCACCAGCTGTGCAATCAGCTGTGTCTGGCCCTGGAGCTTCACTTCCACAACAGCCAGTTGTCCAGCCTTCACCTGCTATACAACTTCAACAGAAGCAAAATCGTATAACGCCAATCCAGAAACCACAGGGCTTGGATCCTGTTGAAATTCTTCAGGAACGTGAATACAGGTGAGTTGAATTGTTACCTTCCTCTGGATCGCTGAGGTGCTCCATACTATATTCTGCATGTTAACGAATCATAAACATTTCAGCACAGGGGTCATTTAGTTCATTGTGCCTCCACTGGACTTATCCATTCTAATCTTATGTGGATCTGGTAGCAAAAATCGTTATCAGGATTGTCTTATCTAAAGATAAGGCCTATAAATACAACAACAACAGCTTAGATTTATATAGCATCCTCCATGCCAAACGGCATCTCAGAGCGCTATAGAGTAATGGATCCTGGGACCAAGCCAGGGGGAGGGGGAGGAAGGTGACCAAAGGCACGGTCGAAAAGAAAGGTCTTCAGCAGAGACCTGAAAATGGAAAGGGAGGGAGCGAGGCGAAGGGAGTGAGGAAGGCAGTTCCAGAGCCTCGGGGCATAGTGGCTCAAGGCACGGCCGCCGAGGGTGGAGCGGAGGACTCGGGGGACGAGGAGGAGGCCAGACCAGGAGGAACGAAGACAACGGGTGCTGTTTTGAGGAGAGGAGGTCAGAGAGGTAGGGGGGTGCAGAGGAGTGCAGGGACTTGAATACAAGGGTGAGGATCTTGAAATCGATCCTCTCTGGGATAGGCAGCCAGTGCAGTTTGGCAAGGACTGGGGTGATTGGGGAGCGGAGTTTCGGGCGGGTGAGAATGCAGGCGGCAGAGTTTTGAATGATTTGGATTTTATGGATGGTAGTGGATGGAAGACCGGTGAGGAGGGCATTGGAGTAGTCCAGCCGAGAGGTGACAAAGACATGGACCAGGGTTTCAGAGGCTTTTGGGGAGAGGCATTGGCGGAGACGGGCGATGTGTCGGAGGTGGTAGAAGGCAGTGCTGGTGAGGGTCCAGATGTGGGGGAGGAAGGATAATTGGGGATTGAACCTGACGCCAAGGTTGCGTACAGGTTCGGAGAGTTTTAGGGGGAGGTTGGATAGGTGGAGGAGGTGAAAGCCGTGAGATTTTAGACGTTGACGAGAGCCAAAGAGTATGGCTTCCGTCTTGTCAACGTTCAGCTGAAGGAAGTTTGCGCTCATCCAACCCCTGAGATCTGACGGGCAGGCTGACAGAACATCAGGGGACTGGGGGTCGCAAAGAGAGGTGGAAAAATAGAGTTGGGTGTCATCTGCATACATGTGGAAATGTACCCCATGTCTGCGGATGATATCCCCAAGAGGGAGCATGTAGATCAGAAAGAGTAGGGGGCCAAGGATGGATCCTTGGGGTACCCCGCAGGTGACCGGGTGAGAGCAGGAGGCGAAGCCATTTGTGCAGATGTACTGCTGGCGATTTGTGAGGTAGGACTTGAACCAGGCGAGTGCGGTCCCACTGACGTGTATGACAGAGGAAAGGCAGTGGAGGAGGATGGCGTGATCGACTGTCGAACGGAGCGGAGAGGTCCAGGTGGACAAGGAGGCAGAGGGAGCCCTGGTCACAGATGGAGAGGATGTCGTTTGTGACTTTCACAAGCGCAGTCTCTGTACTGGGGGCAGTGCGGAAACCGGACTGGAGGGCTTCGAAGAGGGAGTGGGAGGAGAGGTCTGTGCGAAGTTGGTTTGACAACGACGTGTTCTAGAACTTTTGAGAGGAAGGGCAGGTTAGAAATAGGGCAGTAGTGGCCGGGGTTTGAGGGATCTAGGGAGGGTTTTTTCAGGAGGGGAGTGATGACAGCAGTTTTCAGGGAGGCAGGGACTGAACCGGAGGAGAGGGATTGGTTGATGATGTCAGCAGTAGTGGGCAGAGGAGGGGGAGCTGGGTGACCAGTGAGTTGGTGGGGAGACGATTGAGGCAGCAGGTGGTGGGTTTCGTGGAGGTGATGGTGGGTGAGAGGGAGGAGGGAGAGATGGGGAGGAAAGAATGTAGAATGGGGGTGGTGGTAGGAGCAGATGATGAGGAAGGTGAGGTGGACAATGAGGGCGTGGTGGTGGGTGACAGGTGTAGGTGGATGAGGCTGCCTGGCGAATGTTAAGTATTTTAGAAGAAAAGAAGTCCATGACCTCCTCGCACTTGGCATTTGATACGAAGATTGAGGAGACCTGAGGGGGGGCAGGGAGGAAGTAGTGGGTGGTGGAAAAAAGGATTTTTGGGTTGTGTTTAGCCTCCAAGATGATGTTGGAGTAGAAGGTCGTTTTAGCATTAGTCAAAGAACGGCAGTAGCTGTGGAGATGCTCGAGCCACAGTTGGTGGTGAACTGTCAGGCCAGTTTTCCACCATCTGCGCTCGAGCAGCTGGGTTTGGGTTTTTTGGCGGCGGAGATTGTTGTTGTACCAGGGGGATCGGGTGGGTTTGGAGGTGGTCCTGGATTTCAGGGGCATGAGGGCGTTGAAGGTGGAGGAGAGGCGATCATGGAGCAGCTTCAGGATCTCCGCAGGTGGAGGGCCAGAAGGATAGGATGTTTGATGACGAGAGGGCCTTTGTGAGGGTCTCGGGGTAGCCTTTTCCAAGGGCGGTAGAGGATAGTTGAGGGCTTGGTGGAGGAGAGAGGGATGTGAGAAGAGAAGGAGATAGAAAAGTGGTCTGAGATGGCCTTGTCCACTATGCTGAGGTTGGAAATGTCAAGGCTATGGGTGATGACGATGCCAAGTGCATGACCATGGTTGTGGGTGGGTGAATTTATATGGAGGGTATGGTTTAGGGAGGAGAGGAGGGCAGTGAAATCGGCAGAATTAGTGCAAGGGGAGTTTAGGTGGAGATTGAAATCGCCCATTATGAGTAAGCGCTCGGAGCAAAGGGACAGGAAAGAGAGGAGATGTCTGTGTGGAAGGAGCCGGGGGGCTTGGGGGGGGCGGTAGACCAGGAGGATTTTCAAAGGGAGAGAGGGGTGGAAGAGGGTGAAGTGATCGAAGGAGGGGAAGCAGCCCGAGGAGCAGGGGGTGAGACCAAGGGAGGCTTTGGAATGAGGGCCACCCTGCCACCATGTTGGTTTGGATGGGGGGTGTGGTGGAAGGTGAAGCTGGAGGGGAGGCTTCCACTAGGGGTATGGGCTCATTGGGGGAGAGCCAGGTTTTGGTGAGCCCAAGAATGTCAAGGTGCTCGTCCAGGATGAGGTTGTGGATGGTGAGGGCTTTATTTGAGAGGGAACGGATATTTTGGAGGGAAATGCGGATGGGTTTAGTGGAGGGAGGAGAGAGTGGTGCGGAGAGGATTTTGGGTTGTGCAGGAGAGATGGTTGTGGAAAGTGGTGTGAGTGGAGAGTTGGGGAGGGAAGTGGTGATGGGGTCGAGGAGAGAGAGAAGGCGGGTAGGGCGGTGGGAGAGAAGGACAGAGGGGGGTGAGAGGAGAGACATAGAGGGGCGTGGGAGGAGAGACATTTAAGGGGAGGCCCGGGTCGGGGCGGCAGCCAAAATGCGCATGCAGAGACCGGGAGCAAGCGACCAGCAGGACGGCATCAGCCCTCAGGCTTAGCCTCCCAGGTCATGGCCGAGGGGCAGTGGCTGCCAGGCTGTTGTTGTTGTTGTTGCTGGGTTTTTATATAAAAAAAACATTGACTGTGATGTCACGCTGACGTAACTTTGTGAAAGGCCCCCCCGCCCCCCCTCACTTACCTCAGCTCCTACCTCCGCTCTCGACTGAGCGGCTCCTCACCTGACTGTGCTTTATATACACGGCTAGGCCTCGGCTCCGCCTGCGCTCTCCCTCTCCTACCTCCACTCCCGACTGTCACTGCCACAGTCACTGCACGTGGAGTCCTGTAGCTCAGTGGTTAGAGCACTCGCTTTGCAAGTGAGAGACCTGAGTTCAATTCCAGGCAGAGGGCGAAACCTTGGGCAAGTTTCCTTACTCCACACAGAGCCTAATAATAATCCCTCCAAAACCCAAAACAATAATAAATTGGTCATTTTCAATCTACAGCTGTTTGTGGGACATTGCTGTGCGCAATTGGCTGCCGCGTTCGCCCACAAATATACAGTCAATTCACTTTACAGTGTGTTCTGTGAAGCGCTTTGGGATGTCCTCCCGACGTGAAAAGCGCTATATCAAATGCAAGGATTATTATTATTATTATTATTATTTGCAGTATATCCTGTGAATCACTTTGAGGCATCCTCCTGATATATGCCCGTACCACCATTACACCAGTTCTTCCCAGGCTCCACTGGCTCCCAATTACTGAACAAATCGATTTCAAGATCCTCTCACTTGTTTTCAAATGCCTACCTATCCGATTTGCTTGCCTGCGCCCCCCCACCCCACCCGTTGCCTCCACTCGGCTGGCTATGGCCTCCTGTTCGTCCCTTATCCCCTCCACTCCACCATTGGTGGCCATCTCTTCAGCCTCTACGCCCTGGAACTCAAACTCTCTCCCTTTATTCCTCCGCCTTCCCCCCTCCATCCCAACTTTCAAATCAACAACAAAATTACATTTGTATAGCGCCTTTCACATCGGGAAGACATCCGAAGGCGCTGAATAGTCAGTGTTTCGGACCCGAGCTTAAGGTCGGGATTGGGGAAGGTGAAGGGCATGGGGTGGAGGGCAGTGGGGGGGAAACCAGAATGATCGAAAGCACAGTTGAAGTAGAGGCTCTTGAGATGGGTCTTGATGGAGGCAAGGGAGGGGGTGAGGCGGAGGCACTACGGGAAGGAGTTCCAGAGGGTAGGGGCAGAGTGGCAGAAGGCCCATCCGCCAGGGCGGGGTGGGCGAAGCAGGGGATGTGAAGCAGGCTAGAGCCCGCTGAGCGGAAGGATCGGGCAGAATGGTACGGGTTAGGAGGTCGCAGAAGTAGGGGGAGCAAAGCAATGGAGGGCTTTGAAGGTGAGGACCAGAATCTTGAGGGAGGAGTTGGGGAGGCCAACAAGCAGGGAGTTTGCATAATCAAGCCTTGGTGTTATGAGTGCATGTATGAGGGTTTCGGTGGCCTGCGGTGTGAGACAGTGGCGGAGTCGGGCGACGTTGCGGAGGTGGAGGAAGGTAGAGCCAGTCATGGCGCAGATGTGAGGTAGAAAGAATAGTTGAGGTTCAAACAAGACGCCAAGTTTCCAGACTGGCTTTGTAAGATGGAGTGTGCATCCACGGATGGTGTTACTGTCAGCGCCTGAGGTGGGAGGTGCTGATGGGTGCCAATCAGGAGAGCCTCTGTCTTGTTGATGAAGCCCTGGTTGGAGATGGGCAGAATGTCATTTGTCACTTTGACCAGGGCTGTTTTTGTGCTGTGGGCGGCACGGAAACCCAATTTGGCGTGGTTCACGAAGGGAGTGTCGGGAGAGAAAGGAACAAAGCTGGGAAGCAACAACTCATTCCAGGACCTAGGAAAGGAAAGAAAGGTTGGAGATGGGGCAGTAGTTTGAGAGCAGGAATGGGTCCAGGGAGAGTTTTTTAAGGATGGGAGTGATGACGGCTGTTTTTAAAGGAGTCCCTCATAAAGACCCCGCCCCTGTCAAGCGCTCCAGGACGCTATCCCGCATGAAGGCTGCTTTATCAAAGCAAGTTGTTGTTTATCACTATGAGAATTCAGATTTTGGCAATTTTGAAAATGAACTATTAAGATGTATTGTCCCCAAGAATCAAGTGCTTCCTGCTTTGACTGTAATGCTTTCTTGGAAAATAAATGATAAAACTGAAGCCTCAAACCTTTGTAACAGAGCATCACACTTTACTTTTTTTAAATTAAGCCAAATGCTAGTGGTTCCCTTTGGAGGAAGGACCCCCCCTCCTCGTGCACCCCTGATCAGTGTGAATTAACTGTGTTGATGTATTGAAATGTTCAGAATGCTGAAACATATTTGGGTTTGTATCTAGTTTTTCCAATGTTACTCCCAATTTGCGTGGTGTTTAATGCTTGCAAGTCTATCACCCTACCCCCACCATCCCATCATTCTTCACTGTGTAGGAAATAATGTTAACTGCGATGGACTTCAAAACCAACCAATCCTAAATAAGGTCATTTTAAAAATAGATGAAAGAATGACTGATGAAATTGTCTCTGCATTTGAGGTCGCTTTCATGATTTAAAGATTTTTTTTATTCTAAAAAACCTTTTGTGTTGCGATCTGTGCCACTTAAAACTTGTGACACAATTAATTCTTGCAGTTTCATTGTTGAATTTTAATCAAAACTTTTTCTCCACAAAGGCTTCAGGCTCGAATTGCTCATCGAATTCAAGAACTTGAAAACCTACCTGGATCTTTGCCACCGGATTTGCGCAATAAAGCTACTGTTGAATTGAAGGCTCTTCGTCTACTGAACTTCCAGCGGCAGGTATGGATTCGTAAAAATGATAGATTGGGAAATGGGACTATCTTGATTTTATGGTTTTTTTTATTTGTTTATTGGCTTATAGTAGTTAACAGTTAACAGTCCAATCACACCACTGCACTACATGATTTTAGTGTAGCAACCCAGGCATGTCAGTAACGTCCACAACACGATAGTATACAGACCAGGAACACCACTAACCCCATTACACCACTATGACTTTGACTGACGTGGCACAGGTTATCCAGACAGCTTGTTTTCCTACTTTCTGGACATTGAATTTGATGGCAGCAAACAACTTGACCTTCAGCCCACTTAAGACTTTTAAACCCATAAGGTTCATCCAGATTGGGTCATGTTGACCTTGTTTCTTCTGCCCACCCCACCGGGTTTATAGTTTGGACTTTGTCCACTGCATTCAGTTCATAAATCAGGGGGAATGTCTTAAATGAGGTTTCCTACCTGATGCGCACAGTTCTTAATTTACAGTTTCAATTCGCAGGAGATTTGCATCAGGCAGTCTTGCTAGCTTGATGCAAACCACTTGCTTTGCAACTCCAAACAGAAGCAAGGTGAAGGAGATGGGCTGCAGTTTTGGACTGAAATCTTGACTGCAATAAATTGCTACTGCTCTTCTTGAATATTCACAGCACAGGCATAACATGGGTAAATACATTTCTTGAGTTAAATGTTGAACCAACTGCACATTCTCTGTAGAGACTTTTTTTTGAATGTCCCTGTGACTTTGACAGTAAATTGGCTTCTATAGTTTGGTCTGCCCTGCCTGATACACAAGTGATCTGTTGATGCAGTGGACATGATTCTGCCACAAATAGACGAGATACAAACCCTTTTTTTTATCAACAAACAAACGCATCTAGTGTATATTTTCCAAAGTTTGACATTTCTTCCTGTAGTGCTAATACATTTTCGCTACATTTGTAGTCAAACTCTTCAAATGTATAAACCACAATGTTATGGTATCCAGAGGCTATTGATAATAAGCTAGCAATGTGGAAGGTACAAATAATGTGGTTAGATTTTAATTGATTCTGTAACGCTGCATTACAAATGATTTGTGTTTGAATAATAGATCTTGTTTTTCAAAATAACAGTTGAGGCAAGAGGTGGTAGCCTGCATGCGCCGTGACACGACTCTGGAAACGGCACTTAATGTAAAGGCATACAAACGCAGCAAGCGCCAGTCACTGCGGGAGGCTCGTATCACAGAAAAGCTGGAGAAGCAGCAAAAGATCGAACAAGAGCGTAAGCGCAGGCAGAAACATCAGGTATGTTTGACCTTCCTTTCAGGTTAGGACTGAGTTGTAGTTTTGGCTCCCACAGTTAAATGAATTCATGCAGTTGAATCTACTGAAGATGTGGCCATCAAATGGGCTGTAAACTATTTTTCTTTTTTTCGGAATGTTTTTCAATCTTCATCTTATAAATGTTTTCATTAAAATCTGAAAAAATTAAAATCCTTGCAAAACTGTTTTTAATTTAGCTTTTTAATATATATATTTTAAAAAACCTGGAGTAGTGATTTTGTGACTTTGGTAAAGGAGTAAAAAGTGATGGTGATGATGGATCCCAAAGGTTTGGATAATGTTACTATTGCACCTGGTCTTTATCTGTGGGGAAAAAAAAGCAATGGGAAATGCATACTATATATAACATGGTAGTTTATTCTTGAGTGCAATAGTCAAATATCAGAAGTGGAGTTTGATCCACTGACTGCAAAGTTTCATAATGAGAGCACGTAAATCACTTTAGTCCAGATTTGGGTCTAAATTTCAATGTATTGCAGGCTGACCCTTTTAGACCTCCACTCAGATGCCAAATTCAGTTTTGGCTTGCTTGCAGTCAATGTAAAGTGGAGTTGCGGAGGGTCAAACGCAGAAAGCGCCAGTCACTGTGACTCATCCTTTTACAATTTCACAGTTTGGGTACATTTATCTAATTGGGGTATCCACGGCAACTATTGTGGAATTTGTCAAGCAAAATAAGGTGCTAAAGACATGGAGCTTTTAGACTTGCACACTTGAGTTAACAGGCCTGGCATAATATTATGTTTTTACATTTTCTATTGGTGGAAGGAAGAATGACTGAATGCAGTATTGTAGACAAACCATGTACTATTGTTGTATTGATGTATTGGAAACAGTAGTGTCATTTTGAATTTTGTGGTACCTTTGCATGCTTGGGTACTTACCGGCTTGTAGAAACTGAAATTACTGGAAACAATTCAAAATTTAAATTGTTTTCATCTTCTTTGTTCATGAAGAAACGTTATTTCATCTTTCTAATAATGGCTCAGTCATTGTGTATTCCTTAAATACACAAAATAACTTTTGGCAAATCTGTTCGCATTAAAATGTTCTCAGTTTTATTCTGATGTTTATTTGATTTGTTTTTCCATTAAGGGAGCATTTTTTTCTTCAGTAATCGTAACAATTTTAAACAGCTTTTATTCTAATTCTTAACAAATTATGCTCTAATAATTCAGCATTGCTTGTAGTGTACATTGGTCTGGCAAATCAACTGCAAGTACTATCTGTATTTTAGGAATATCTCAACAGCATTCTGCAACATGCAAAGGACTTCAAAGAGTATCACCGTTCAGTTACTGGAAAAATACAAAAGCTCTCCAGAGCCATTGGCACTTGGCATGCCAACACTGAACGTGAGCAGAAGAAAGAAACTGAGAGGATTGAGAAAGAAAGAATGAGGAGGCTGATGGTAAGGAAAAATATTTGTCACTTGAGAAGCTCTTTTGAGGTCCACTTTTGACTAGTCTCTAATGGCCATGAGAGAAAGCTCTGATTGTCCGTACCCCATAACAAGAAATCATTACAAATCCGAACTTCAATTCGTGGAGTTTCTTTGCAGTCTCTCGAAAATGGAGATGAGTTTTTGTTTCAATTTTGCTGTAAGACTAAAGCTAGAGACCCGTTCAATACTAATCGAACCTGTCTTAAAAAAAAATTATGTTAACAGGCAGAAGATGAAGAAGGCTACCGCAAGCTGATTGATCAGAAAAAGGATAAGCGTCTGGCATACCTACTTCAACAAACTGACGAGTATGTTGCAAGCCTCACGAAACTGGTCTACGAGCACAAGGCTGCCCAGGCAGCTAAAGAGAAGAAAAAGAAGAAGAAGAAAAAGAGGGTTTGTATCTCCCATTTAAAACATGTCATGCATGTACAATTCAGGGGTATTTTAACTTTATCCCTGATCTCTTGTAGTCGGCTCCTCTAAATTGTAGTTTGGTAGCAATTTGGGTAGTTTCTAGTCCAAAGCTTGTTTCTCTTCCAATAGAAATTGCTAAAACGTAGACTCTTGAACAGTATATTTCCTAGAGAGTTTTATTAAATCTAATGCACGTTTCATTTGTGCCCATTATTTTGTTGCATTTTCACTCTTTGCTCTACCTTCTTAATTTTTCTTGTTTTTTTNATTCCTCTTGGCTCAAAGATTCCTCTTGGCGCACAGTGTCTCTGCCAAATGGCCTGAGCAGGAATAGGTGGCAGCCTATATCACTATAATGTCATTGTGCTTAAACCCTCACTCAGCAAACACTTGCAGGCAATTTCTGTAGCTCTGTGGAAGTCCTGTAGCTCAGTGGTTAAAGAACTTGCCTCGCAAGTGAGAGACCTGGGTTCAATTTCCGGCAGGGCGAAATCTTGGGCAAGTTTCCTTACTCCACACACCTGATAATAATCCCTCAAGAAAAAAGAACAATAATAAATTGGTCACTTCAATCCACGACTGTTTGTGGGACACTGCTGTGCGCAAATAGCTGCCACGTTTCGCCCACAAATATACAGACAATACACTTCATAGTATATTCTGTGAAGCGCTTTGAGACGCCTAGAAGACGTGAAAAGCGCTATATCAAATGCAAGGTTTATTATAATTTCGGCAGGTGTTGCTTAGAGAGTGATCAAGAGAATGTGAAATTCCTTTGTTGTAGGTTTTTTTCACTTGTTTCTCTCCCAGAAGGTCCTCCCCAAGTTCTAATTCAGTAGTCCCATTTGCTGCACCAGCTGAAATGGGGAACTTAGTGAGGCTAGTGACTGAGACTCAGAATCTCCGCATTCTATATGACTCAATAGTGCTGTCCACTGTTATGCGTTTTACGCACTCAGCTGAATGAAGAGATTATTTTCGATTTTTTTTTAAGTAAACCTTTTTCTTGCGAAATCAACCAACCTTGTACTTTTTTTTGCCATCAGGGAAAGAATGACAAACACTTTACCCTTCTGCAATACTTCACTTGCTTCTGTAATTGCCTTCTTGGTGTATTTTTAATCAACCTTGTGGCAAAGAATGAGATTCAATAAGTGTGTGTGTGTTTGTTGTTTGTATAGATACTTATAATATCTTTGTATTCTTCTGAAACCAGCAGAAAACTGAGGAACCTGGAGAAGGAATGAGCTCCAGCCTTGGTCCTGATGGAGAGGTGAGCTGTTTCCAAAAATTGCTTTGTAGATAATTTACTTCATATGCATATTCTGTAATACTTCATAGTTTAAAAAAAACAGTCCCTGTAGAACAACCATGAAAAAGGTCAAAAGCAGTTGAGTCAAGAGTAGTTTAATTCATTGCAGTAACAGGAGTGTGAGTTATCAAGTGAATTTGATTTGATTTCATCGGACACTGAGCAGGACAGAGGGAAGGGGTAAGTGACCAAAGACACAGTTAAAGAGGTATATTTTAAGGTGAGATTTGAAGACAGATGGAGTGAGACAAGGGATTTCAGAGCTTAGAGGTATAGTAGCTGAAAGGTCGGCCTCTGGAGCCGGCAGAAGATGCACAGCAAACCTGAATTAGCTGACTGGAGGAGGAGTGAGGAAGATCACCAAAATTAGCAATTATTATTGCATTATAGCTGATTTATAAGTAGGGTTGAGGACCTTGAAATCAATCGGTTTGGAGACAGCGGACCCTGCTGAGGACTCGGTGATGGACTTGCGGAGTTTGGTGCAGGTGAGAAAGAAGGCGGTAGGGTTTTGGATAAGCTAGAGTTTATGAGTGGTGGAGCAAGGGAGACCGGCAAGCATTTGATAAGTCGAGTTGAGAAGTAACAAAGGCGTGAATATGATATGCACACTTTTACATATTTATATGTATTTATAATTTATATAAATATATGAAGTTTCCTTCTTTGGGGTAATGAAGCCAGTTGCTGTGCGGCGAGCCTAGGTGAGATCGGGGATCAAACCTGTAGTTTCTTTGGTTCAGATGCTCGTTGGATAGATTGAGCCATGATAGGCATGCTTGGGCATATTTTTAAACTGAATTAAGTAGTAATTTGCCTAAAGGCTATTCTAATAATATTGATTTGTTTTAGGATACTTTTTTTTTGATATTCTGGTGTGACTCATCTGTGAATTCTGCTTTGTAACTCTAATGCTTTATCTTTTAAGCTTTTGGATGAAAGTAGTCAGATGAGTGATTTGCCAGTCAAGGTTATTCACGCTGAAACTGGTAAAGTTCTCCAGGGTCCAGAGGCTCCGAAAGCTGCCCAATTGGATACCTGGCTTGAAATGAATCCAGGGTAAGTCAGTTATTTGCTATGTATCTGGTGAAATAGTAATAAGAAGAACAAACCCTATCCCGCAGAGCTCTGAAAGAATGTTTGAGAGCTTTGCAATCTGGTCTGGGTTAGGACTGATGACACAATGTAAAGCAATACCTTGTAATGCAGTATTGTTTGCATAATCGTGGTGGGGAGGAGAAACGAGAAAGCCCAGATCATGACCACTCTATCCTCCTCCATCGCCCCTCCTCTCACCTCAATCTTCATGGTTCTGTTCTTGAGTGGTTCCGATCGTACTTCTCACACTGTTTCCACTTTATCTCTACAAACAGCTTCTTCTCTAGCCCCGCACCATTTTGTGTGGCGTTCTTCAGGCCTCTGTCCTTGGTTCTCTCCTCTTCAACCTGTAAATGCTTTCTCTTGGTAACATCATCTGCAGACTTCCACATGTGTGCGGATGATACCCAACTCTATTTCTTTGCCTGTAACCTGAATTCCAGGATCACTACTGTCCTGACAGAATGTCTGTCAGACATCAAGTCCTGGATGAGAGCTAACTTCCTATGTTGAACATCAACAAGACCAAGGCCCTCACGATTGGCTCCTGTCAGTGCCTCCACACCTCAGGTGCTGACAGCATCACCATCTAGGGATGCACACTCCACCTTACTAAGCCAGTCCGGAACCTTGACATCTTGTTCAACCCTCAACTGTTCTTTCACCCTACATTCATGCCATGATCCGCGCTGCCTTCCCCCACCTCCGAACAATGCCTGGCTCCGCCATTACCTCACCCCTCAGGCCGCCGAAACCCTCATGCACGCATTTATCACAACTAGACTCGGCTATGCCAACTCCCTGCCTGTCAGCCTTCCCAACTCTCCTCCACAAGCTGCAGATCATCCAGAACTCTGCAGCTCGTGTACTCGCCTTCAAGGCCCTCCACGACCTTGCTCCTTCCTACCTCTAACCCCATATCAACCTGTCATCTCCCTCCGCTCAGCAGGCCATGGTCTGCTTCACGTCTCCTGCCCAGCCCGCCCCATCATCGGCAGTCGGGCCTTCAGCCTTTCTGCCACCACCTTTTGGAACTCCATCCCGCAATCCTTTCGTCTCGCTGCCTCCCATGGCTCCTTCAAGTCACATCTCAAAACCCTCCTCTTCGACCGAGCCTCCCGCGCCCTTCCTACCCTCCCTGCTCTCCACCCAAACCGATCCTGAACCCCAGCTCGGGTCCAAATCTCTGACTGTCCAGTGCCTTCGGGTGTCCTCCCGACGTGAAAGGTGCTATACAAATGTAATTTTGTATTGTATTTGTACTGGGCAGCACAAGTTTAGTACTAGTTATTTTGGTACTACAAATTCAGATACTTGAACCCTGAAGACCATATTCAGGATTTGTAGTGGAAATGAAATACAATACAATTTACATTTATATAGCACATTTCACATCAGGAGGATGTGTCTTGAATCACTTACAAAAACTGATCAGTTTGGAATCCCCATAATTATCTCCCATTGGTGCAATCTTGTAACTGATATTGCAGTTTTCATAAGAAATGTCTTGTCTATTTTTTACCATCTGCAATCCATCAATTTTAGAGCTATTCACTTGGTTGGCTTTCTCTATTGTCTACTTTCAGGTACGAAGTAGCCCCTCGATCAGACAGTGAGGCGAGTGGGTCAGAATATGAAGAGGAAGTAAGTGCTCCCTTGTTTAAAATTTTGTTATGTGTACTGTTTCTGAAGCTGCAGTATTAAGTTTAACAAATGTATTGCCTTTTTGCTACTTCCTCCATCACAGCTAATTCCTTACGAGGTATAGTTTCTCTGGAGAAAGATGCATGGAGTGTGCAGTTCTTTCTCCTCCCCACTCCATCTCTCTATACAGTCTCTCCTCCTTCTCCATCCCCCCTTCCACCCCCGTGTAAAGGCTCATCCATCGACTACTACAGCAGATATTTAACTTCTTTAAGCTTTGTTTGGGGGAACTGAGATTATAGTTATTGCATTTAATTGTTCTACATTATAAACCTTGCATTTGATATAATGCTTTATCACATTGCAACATAGCAAAGTGTAGTAATTCTGTTTGTGGACGAATGCAGGTGCCAGTTTTTGCACAAATAGCTATGAAGTGAATGATCATTTTTTTGTTTGTTTGGGAGGGATGGAAATGGAAACAAAATCCCATGGAATCTTTAACATCATGTGTCAGCCTGGCTCAGTGGTAGCACTCTTGCCTCTGAGTTAGAAGGTAGTGGGGACTTGGAATCACAGTCTAAGATGACAGTCCAGTGCGTTGCTGAGGGTGTATTGCCGTCTTTCAGATAAGACATTAAACTGAGGTCCTGTCTAGCTCCTCAGGTGGACGTTAAGGATCCCATGGCACTGTTTGAAAGAGAAGGGAGTTTCTCCTGGTGTCCTGGCCAACCATCCCCCAAATAAAATTGGTCAAACACTCCATGGCGGTTTGTGGGACACTGCTGCCCGCAAATTCTCTGCCGCGTTTTGCCCACAAAATACATAGTCAATCCACTTCACAGTATATCCTGGGAAGCGCTTTGACGTCTCGCCAACGTGATAAGGCTCTGTATCAAATGTAAGGATTATTATTTGATCTAACCGAACAGGCAGATGGGTCTTTGATTTAAGGTATTTCTCTCTCATATCCTTTATATCATATCTCATATCATTCCATTAAGCGCAGAATATAAATAATAAACCGATAAGATCCTAAGAAAATATGATCACATTTGGACTGGCTGAACAGTGGCTTCCTGGAAGTTCATTCATTAGTCATGGATGACAGTCCTCAAGTTGTCACTGACCACCATTTACTGCCAAAGTACATTTAAGCTAATATAATTGCTGCATGTTTTCAGGGCAATGTTTGACACCCAAGTATTGTGTGTGAACGTCATCTTAATTTACTAATATTGCTATGCCAATTTGCTATTGAATAGCCAGGCAGAAAGATGAGAGTGGACCAATTCAGTGGGTATTAAAACTGTATTGCAATGTGAATGACCTGCTTCAGAAAATTACTTTTCCTTTAAATTAAAATATTTTTCTTAACTCCCATTATAATGTGAAAAATGATACACCATTTCATGGCCAAGAATGCTGAAAGAGCCCTGCTTTCAGGCCTCCAGAAATGGAATTCTTTGTGTGTGATCTCCTTATCTTTGCAAAAAACGTTTACCGTTTGGCTCCTTGCAAATTACACAAGAATTGTAGAGCAGAATCAGCATCCGAGCTGACCCTCGTTTGGGACGTACACCCCCTAGACCACCATCAAAATTTCCACTTAAAAAAAANTCGGCTGTAAATCCATTTCAGCTAAAGTAATTTCTGCAAAATTGTTTCAAACCAAATCGCCTGAGGTTCTTTATGCTTCAGTGTTGTTGCTAGGATTTTTGGTGAGGCATCATGATTGATATGTGGCGTTTGAATTACTTGCTTATTTCTTTTCTTGTCTTCCTTGCTTGGTTTCTTACCTGTCGTGTCTTGTGATACCTCTACAGACAGAGAGTTCAGATCATACTAATCGAAGCAGAGCTTACTTATACGACTTGTCAAGCGTGAAACCGCTCTAAGCTTTAGTGATTTGTGGAGCTTTTATTTTTTTTAAATCCAAAGCAATTTATATATCAATTTAGATTTTTTTGAGGCCGATTGCATGAAGCTGACTCTCAACTTTCAGTGAAAAAGGGCAGATAATAGTATATTGAGCCATATGTGATGCTGACTCCTAATGCTCCAGACTTAAATGAGTTTTTGATTCTGCCATCCATGGTTGACGTTCACCTTACACATTTATTGCTGGGAATGGCAGCTTTAATGTAACTGCTTTGAGTTGCTGTTTTGTGTTCCTTTTTAATGTATACAATGCAATCAAAAAGTACAAAAGCTACTGATCGAGTAAAGTACATTTCCCCTAGTCTTTTAATGGTGTTTAAAACCAAGTCTAATTCCTTGACATTAACCATATTGCCCATTTTTTGTTGTTATTGGAAACCCCCTGCTCATGCTTTATTGCTTTGTGGTGTACAAGATGCAATCTGGGTTGACTGGCTCTCTTGCTTTCTTTCTTTTCCCACCCCTCTTCCAATCAAGAACTTGGTTATGGGTATTCACGTCTTATTTTTCAGCATATTGTCAGAGTTCCAGTAAGCTTTCTTCTGTGGTGCCTAATATCTATGTAACATGTTTCCAATAGTGTAGTAATGTGGAGACTTCATCCATAATCTGTGAAGTGAGTGCTTATTATAATAATCCTTACGTTCGATATAGTGCCTTAATTTAATTTAGTAAATCTTAATTTACTAATATTACTCTGCCAATTTATTATTGAATAGCTGGGCAGAAAGATACGAGTGGACCAGTTTAGTTGGTGTCAAAGCGCTTCACAGGAACTTCCTTCACAAGAACTACAAAGAACGTACAGCATGGAAACAGGCCACTCGGCCCAACTAGTCTATGCCAGTGTTTGCACCCTACACGAGTCTTTGACCCGTTTCTTACTCTTTTCCATACCCTTCTTTTTCACTCCCTCAACATGCATACTATACTATCTGATTCAACCACTGCTTCAGGCAGTGAATAATAATCAAGTAAAGTATTGAATGTGCAGTGAGTTCATAAGTGCATGTGCATTTTTTTAGTTTTTATTTTAATAAATCTTTGCATCCCTTTTCTATTCCATCCCCTTCAAACTGAATTCATCATCCCAGTCGCTTGTAGATGTCCAGATTGCCATGTTATGGGTCATATTAATGGGATGCGATTCTTCCAGTGCATACTTTTTAAAAAATAAGTTTGTTATATCTACACTTAATCAAAACCCGTCAGTACAAATGGCGTTTGCCTATCCTAAGTAAAGTTTGTATTTTGTTTAAAGGAGGAGGATGAAGAAGCCCTACTTGCGCCTGGCACTGAAAAAAAGATCATTGGCCCGAACATTGAAGACGTATCAGACTTTTTCGCCAAACAGATAATTGAGTACGTATCAGCACTTCATTGCAGTTGGTTTATAACAACAACAAATTACATCTGTACAGAGCCTTTCATGTCAGGAGGACATCCCAAGGCAGTGGACAGTCAGGGATTGGGACCCGACCAGGGGGTTGGGATTAGGGAGGGGTGGCGGGCAGGGATGGTAGGGGTAGGAGGGTGACCGAAGGCGCACTTGAAGAGGAGGGTCTTGAGACCTGACTTGAAGGAGGCAGGGGAGGGAGCAAGGTAAAAGGACTGTGGGATGGATTTCCAAAGGATGGGGGAAGAGGCTGAAGGCCCGACCGACTATGGTGGCGTGGGCTGGGCAAGGAACATGGAGAAGGCCGGAGCCTGATGAGCGGATAGGTCAGTATGACAGCAGTGGTCCTGGAGTCAAGGGTAGAGGCCGAAAGATAGAATTGGGTGTCATCTACGTACATGTGGAAGTTTATCTCCAGCATTTTCCCTTTAGATAATTAATCTTGGAACATTTTATTGCATTGTAAACCGCAGATGGTAACTTTTTCGTAGGGTGGGTGCTCTCGTGTTGGAAGAGACTACAAGCATTTCTGTCTTTATGGAAAGAAATGTGTTGTAAGGTTTTTGCTTTTCTCCCTTTACTTCCCTTTAACCAGCTCTAGTGTAACTTAGTGTAAACTGCACTTGAGTTTCAAGTCAAAATCTTAAAAGGATAGTGTAAAGATGTGTACATCAGTCTAATTTATGATCTTTATGTTCCTCAAAAAATATAATGCTAAGAATTAGTTTTCATATCACCCGCCCCCCCACCCCCGTGGTATTTAGTTAATTGAATGATATTCATAGGGTATAAATGGAGCAGTTTTCTGAGGAAAATTGGAACCATCTGAGGCTATGGCTGTGTTGATCCATAGTCGTCCAAACCAGATAAAGTATGAACCAAGGTCAGTCAAATTGCCTTCCTTACATGCCTTTAGCTTTATACTGGCATTTTATAGTAGTCAGGCCTGCGGAGGCTTCTCAAATGGGCATCCGGCCCTCGGCACCCAAAAGGTTGGACCATCCTGATGCAATTAATTGCACCGTACTATGACAGGTAAGAGATTATCTCACAGGGGATTCTGCAGAGGTGTAATTTGTTGCATTTTACTTGAATGAAACTGGTTCTATGTGTGCCTGATATGGAATGATAATATTCCTGGTCTATAGTTTCTTGTATGATTTCTTTTTACAATAGATAAGAACCCTCTTGAACGCTTTACTTTTTTTAAAAAAATCTAGATGTGCTAAACAAGATGTTGACGATGAATATAGCATGAGAGCAGGGATGAAGGGTTCCCAGTCATATTATGCAGTGGCTCACGCAGTGACTGAGCGGATAGAGAAACAATCCAGTCTCCTTATCAATGGAATGCTGAAGCAGTATCAGGTAAGAAGATGGATTTGTAGTCTAAGCTGCAACCAAAATAATCGCAAGGGGCAAGGAAATCAAAATCCCCAAACTTCAACCAGATTGTTAGAAAATTCTTAAATTCAGTCTTAATTTGAAGCAGATTTTCTGCAGTACTTGAAAGGCCTGTGAAAAAGCTGCTTCACATTAAGAGTGAACTTAAGAAATCTCCAAATTGTGCATGATCTTAAATGTTAAGACTGAAGAATTTCTGGCCTCAGGCATGAACTATAGTTATGGAACAATGTGCTGGATGATACATTGTGCAATCGTTATACACCTTAATTTCAACACATAAGTAGATGATATTTTGCTTTTAAAGCAGCTTCTGGAAGCAGCCGTGAAATATAGCTCAAAATGCAAAAAGAAATTCTGATATAGAGGAACAGTTGCTTGCTAAGTATCATAAATGGTGTTTTTTNCCCTCCCACCCCTTTCCTGATGTTTAGCTTCAAGGACTGGAATGGCTGGTTTCTCTGTACAACAACAATCTGAATGGCATTCTGGCAGATGAAATGGGCCTGGGAAAGACTATCCAGACTATAGGACTAATCGCTTACCTGATGGAGCACAAGAGACTTAACGGACCTTATCTCATCATTGTACCTCTCTCGTAAGGCTAATTCATTGTGCTTTGGAACTTTTGTGGGAGGAAGTACTTCACAGGATTTGTATATTTTTTTTATAAGTGAACATGGCAGTCAATTTGGGCACAGCAAAGTCACACAAACAGCTGTGGGTTGATTGTTAGCCACCAATTAACTGTATGAGGCTCCTGAGAATCTTAAAGGAGCACTTGCCTCTGCTTTGCACCAAGATTTGTGTACAAAAAATTTGTATACAAAAGTAATTAGTCAGAAAAAGTGCCGTCATTTTCATGGTTTATTTAAAGCATCTTATTTTTGTTTCCCAAAAGCAGGCTAGGAATTAGTTAGTTTAAAGTGCAAGTTTGATATTCATAATTTTTTTAAAATAGTGTAGTTTCATGCCTAACTTGAAGTTTGGAAAAAACAGCAGTATGACAAGTTTTTATTCGATCTTTGAAATATTTCTGCATCATGTAAAGAGGCTGCTAATTTTGCAGATTTCTGCTTATCCTCTGTCCATTTGTACCCACCATTCATTTTCCAGTTACATTCTGAATATTTTGCCCTCTTTCAATGACTTGAGCTGTTCTTAAAGAGTTCTAGGAAAGTAAATCCTGCAACATCTTTATCTGTATTAAATCAGCTTTTAAGCTCTTTTTAAAAAATATATATACATGTCCATGTTGATAAACAGATGTGTTTGCTGTAATTATTCAATAGCTGTCCCACATAGCATACAGAGTTTTCTTTGATATTTGGTCAATTTACCAGTTGGTTAAATATCATATTCAACTGATCCCTTAAGTGTATCCCTCTGCTTAGTAATGCCCTGAGCATTTACACTTCACTAAATATAAGGAGATGTGTAGATTATACCACAATATTCAACCACTATGGTTTCAACGGTTTTGTGTTCTTTGGGAAATTTCTATGAAAGATTTGTTTGGAGATTGGGGGTGAAGGAGAAGAAAAGACAATCCCATAATACTTGAGTGTTTTTGACAACAATGTTTCTAATTGTTTATAGACCAAGTATAAATGGGCAGCATTTCTACCTGGGATGTTGGGATATGCAAATGAAATGAAGATTAAAATTCCCTTTTTTAAAAAAATTATAGCTATGAAACTTCAGTGTAACATTTCGACTGTCAAGATTTTGGAAATGCACTAAAAGCTCAGAGCTGGGGGGGTGGGGGTGGCGGAGATCCAGTCTTGAATTTCCTGCTAAGTGTAAATACCATGCCAATACTGGGATTTTTTCAATGAATAAGCAATCTTCTGCTCGCGGGATTGAAACTGAGTAAAGTCGATATCTCTAGCCACTGAAGGCCTGTAAGCAGTGAGGCAGGGACATGCTAAGAGAGTGGGTCAGAGGGAGTCTGCATATAGCCCGCGGAAATTTTAAAAAATCAATTTCGGGCCCAGTCTGGTTGTGTTCAAAATCCAGATCCTTATTAGGATTACTGCTGGCAAGTGAAGGGAGTTTCTCCTGGTGTCCAGGCCAATAATCCCCAAATAACATTGGTATTTCACTTCATGACTGTTTGTGGGACATTGCTTGTGTGCAATTTGGGTTGTCTCATTTGCATGCAAATACTGTCACTAACACAGTAAAATCCTGGGAAGTACTTTGATTTGTCCTTCTGACGTAAATGGTGTTCTTCCAAATTCGAGGATTCTTACTTATACATAACTAAAAACATGAACAAATATTGAAGGTAAACATCGTATAATTCATGCTACACAACGTAAATATTTTGGGAGGGAATTGTCAAATTCAACTCATTCATATCATTAAGCATGAAGACTGATTTAAAAGATGTTCTGAACACTTTTTACCATTTTTTAAAAGTGGTTTTAGAGTTGCCCTTTGTGAATGTGGCCCTGCAAATAATTTTTAGGACTAATTATTTTCCTTGCAAATTTGACAAAAAGAAATTGATATTTGCTACATGAATTCCTGGGGCTTCTTTGACTTTGATGGAACAATACACCAGATCTGTCCAAAGTAAATGAGTCAGCGTTCCTCAAGGCAACTCAATCAAGAAATTGATTTTTGTAGACTAAGGGAGGGGTGGGGGGTTTGAAGGAGAGTGCAGCAGTTAGCTGGTGGCTTACTTGGTTGATCTCTCCTCTGACATAAAGCTCCCTATTGTATTAAACATACAGCTATATTTTTCATGAATTTTGACCTCTGTATATTTTATAGACCATTTTTATCGATGTTTGCAACAAAGCATTTTCTGTAAGACTCCAAGCACCTTATTTTTAAACTCCTGTGATTACTCATCCCGATGTACTAACATGCCTCAATGCTTAGACTCCAGTGTATGTTCTGTTCCAATTTAGCTTCCAAATTTGTATCGACTCTCACAAATGCAAGCTGAATATTTTGCGGTTTGTGACTAGTTAACTATTTGATGGCTTCAAGTCATTAATCAGGTACACAAACATAAAATGAAGCCCTGTAGCTCAGTGGTTAGACCACTCACCTCACTAGACCTGGGTTTGATTCCGGCAGGGCAAAATGTTGGGCAGGTTTCCTTACTTCACACACCTCTGTTTCCCTTGCAGTTAAGTAGGACCTGGTTGTTAGTCGATTGGCAAATTGCTTTTCCAGGGGTACTAATGCCTTGATGAATAAATAATAATAATAATTTGATCACTCAATCCACAACTGTTTGTGGGGCACTGCTGTGTGCAATTGGTTGCCGCATTTTGCCCACAAAATATACAGTCAATTCACTTTACACTATATCCTGTGAAGTGGTTTGAGACATCACTACATCAATTGCAAGGATTATTATAATCCTGTCGTAGTTTTGCAAAACCACCTAATTGCCTGAAATGTTAATTGCCTCTTCAGACAGGAGGTTGTGGGATTGAGCCCCACATTGAGGCTTGTAACCCACATAGTCTAAGATGACAGTCCAATGCAGTGCTGGGAAAGTGCTACATTGTTGGAGGCACCGTCCTTTGTATGAGAATTTAATCGATTCCACTGCCTGTCCAGGTGGGCATTAAAAATCCCATGGGGTTATTGGAAAAGAGGAGAGAATTTATCCCTGTGTCCTGGCCAACAATCCCCGAAATAAAATTGATCACTCACTCCATGGTGTTAAGATGTAGTTGCAAATGTTAAAGTAGTGGTGTGTGTATGTGTATTAAACATTACAAAATAAGCAGTTTTGTTTGAAACTAATTTAAAAGCCTTTTTATCTTTTCTCTCCATTTAGAACTTTGTCCAACTGGGTTTATGAATTTGATAAGTGGGCACCATCAGTTGTGAAGATTTCGTACAAGGTCAGTTTGTGTTCAGTTTAAACCATTGCAAAATGCTATGGATCCAGTTGGAATGAAGGCATTGATTTGATGTTAGCTATTTCTTATTTAAACAATTTAATTCCTGCTGCTATTTTGTTTTAAGTTCACTTTCTCAGGTCTTGGTTTAATGGAGTTTGTGCAGAATTGCACAGTGCAATTAGATGTCTGTATTGAAGTACTTCAAGTTCTGTAACTATTGGATGGTATTTCTCATTGTTAAGGATTTACTTTTCTTTGGTTAATTGAACTGACAAGCACGGTCATTGATCGGTTGTTGCAGTCTGTAGTAGCTTGGGTGAGCAGTGATTATTGAAGATTTGATTTGGGCTTCAGCTCCTCTGATGGGAAGCAGTGATTATTATTATTATTAAGGAGTGGAGCGATTTGAATGGAATGTGTTCTCAGAAGGGGACCCACACCTCTTTGCGGTTGCACAGCTCAGGGTCAGGCTGCGCATTACTTGTTTTGATTTCAGATGTCTCCCAGGTGCTTGCTCCACATGTTTTGCTGTGGGCATTGTTGGGTTGTGCCATTATCTGTGCGATGCTTGTATTTTTGAGACTTATAGGAATTGGGCTGTATATTTTTGCTAAAATATACAGATGGAAATATGCACATTTAATTAAAACTTATAAAATTGACATAGGATCTATTTGTACCACATTGTATTGTAAATCTTATTATAATGTGCTTAATTTGTAGTTGTGCTGATAAGCAGTATGAGCCAGGAACTGCACGGGACTGCTGCTGACAGTGCTGGGAATCTAAATTCCCATAATCTAAATAAATAATTATAACAGTATTGTTTAAGTAGAAAGATGCATCTGTAGGTTTCTTTACTTGTTGTAAATTAAAAAGTCAACGTAGTCTGATATTTCTCCAGCTTGCAATGCGTCCAGCTTTGTGCCTTCCTGCCTATTCTAAATTGAATTTACAATATTGGTTAAATCGCTCTTGGCCATTATTGTTAACATTACTCTTATATGTTTTGTTTAGGGAACTCCAGCTCTGCGACGGTCATTTGTTCCAACGCTACGCAATGGAAAATTCAATGTTCTTCTAACCACATATGAATACATCATTAAGGATAAACATGTCCTTGCCAAGGTACAGCACGACTTGGGCATTTTTTGACCTAACTAACACAGAATGTTTATGTGTAATTTGGTTATCTTTAGACACAAGATCATAGATAAACTCAAGCTTCCAGCATTTGCTTCTTTTAAGTTGCTGATATTAGGTTGCCACTGCTGGAGCTTGTCACAAGTTCCCCGACAGGAGAATTAACCTCAAAGCTGAAAAAAATATAAGGGAATTTCATAGCGTGTTCGACTGAGTTCATTATAACTGGGTTAGTGCCATTTATATTGCCATTCGGTATAGCGCTGCTTCATCTTCCAGTGCAAAAGAAAATAGCCAATTTGTAATTTGTCTTGCTGCTGACAATTTCTATGTCTTGTACATATGTGCAGCAGGAAGTGTTGCTAATGTGACTTAGCACAGAAAGTGATATGAATATCAGATGCAGTGTGCAGGAAGTGATGTCAGCAGTGCCCAGTTCACCTAAAAATGGATCAGTGTTTCATTTAACGCCGTCATTGAACTGTTGGACTCTGTCGAACATGCAATGAGATTCCCCTGTGCTTTTTTTTAAAGCTTTAAGGTTAATTCTCTTTACATGTTGGAGAGCTTGTAACAACCCCCTAAATGTGCTAATATCAGTAACTTGAAAGACGCAAATGCAAGAGGCTTGAGTTTTAAATCTAGAAATGATGAGTATCCTTGTGGAGAATGGCACATTACCAAATGGCCATTTGGTTGAGGTGTGTGGAAGGGTGCAAAGAGCATGCTCCAGTTGAAGGAGTCCCAACACTTTCAGGAGGGAAGGAAATCTGGCAGATATCAGGAGGGAAATGAAGCCTCTATGCTGACGACATTTTCATTCCAAATCTTTTTCCTCTTGCATTCAGCTTCGATGGAAATACATGATCGTAGATGAGGGTCATCGTATGAAGAATCACCACTGCAAGCTGACGCAGGTGTTGAACACACATTATGTTGCACCTCGTAGGGTTCTCTTGACTGGAACTCCATTGCAGAACAAACTGCCAGAACTCTGGGCCCTTCTAAACTTTCTGCTGCCGACCATCTTTAAAAGCTGCAACACCTTTGAACAATGGTTCAATGCTCCATTTGCCATGACTGGAGAAAGGGTAAACATCTTGTTTGTTGTGTGGTACAGTTCGCCTTTGTCCTTTCTGGCCTCGATTTCTCTAACGCTCTCCTCACCAGTCTTCTGCGCTCAACCATCCGTAAGCTTCACCTCCTCAATTTCACGGCTGATACCCTCTCCCATGCCAATCATCTTCATCCTTGCTGGGTTTCATTGGTTTCCTGTTCCCCCAACAGATTGATTCTAAGATTCTCACCTCGTTCTTGCTTTCAAATACCTCATTCCCTGCACCCAATTTACCTCTAATTTCCTCCAGTCCCACTCTTTCACCAGCTCGCACTGCTCAATAAACTGCTGCACATCCTTTGCTCTCTCTGAACTACTATTAGCGGCTGAGCTTTTAACCACTGTGCCCCACTCTCTGGAGGACATTCCCTAAATTCTTCCAACTTTGTTTTTAAAACTGTTCTGCAAACCTACCTCTTTGGTCCCTCCTCTTTCTCCCTTTTCTTCCCCCCCAAAGAAACAACATTGCTTGGGGTTCCACTCTGCCTCTGTTAATTGCTTTGTGACATAATCCTGCATGAAACGTGCCACGTAAAGCCAAAGTGTGATCAAATCATAAATGACTGTGCCAAGTGTTCACCTCCTCTTTCTCCCTACCTTGGCCTCAAGAGACGTTACCCTGCTTGAAGGGTAAATGCTTGTTGTTGTGGTTGTTATTGTTTTATTGTGTGAAATCAAAAAATGATAGTAACTTGAAAAGTAAAATAATTGTCAGAGACAGGTTGTGAGTGTTTGAGTAATTGGACTGAATCTTTTTTGCTATTTGTTTACACTTGTGTTTTGAAATACTTTAACTTGAGGTTTTCATGAATGCAGTTCTCTGGCAAACCGTAGTGCTCTAATTGGCACTCGGGAATGATGGAATGAATTTTTATGGCCACAATTGTTACCTTGAGTTTTGCATCTCAGCCAAGGAGGAACGATTCCATTAGAGGTAGCCAGGACTACTTTTGAGGAAACATTTACATAATGGTGCTAGGGGAAAATTCCCTACCAAGCATCTCATGGGTATGGAAGGAAACATTTTTAGCAACCAAAAACATAAAGGTCTCTGGAGACTAGTGTTCGGATTTCAATTGAAATCAAACAGTCTAATAACAATTCACATTTTAAACCAAATGCACACCTATGAGAGTACACCTTACATGGGAGGCTCAAACCTTTTTTNAAACATCAAATTAGCAAACCTAATTTTGTAGGATCGTGTGTGACTTTTTGAATGGTTTTGTTTGACTTTGGGTAGATTCTGGCACCTGTGGATAAAGATATGTAACCAAAAGATATGTAATCTGGAAATTTTAAATGAGACACAGTAATACTGGAAATCCACAGCAGGCCCATCACCATCTGAAAGAGAATGTTGGGTTAATGTTTGCTGCCTGAGCCACCTTTCTCTTTCAGGCATTTTTTGGTTGTCTGTTCATTGTCAGCATTTCTTTTGTTTCAAGTATTTGTGTAAACTACGTGAGAGATTTCATTTTATAAATATTAATGTGTTCTGCAGGCAATTCTCAAGGACTTATTAAAAACTCTTACAAAGAATTGAAAACTTAAATTAATACATTTAAACCAGGTCTGTTATATAACGTGTGATATGAATACAGAGGGAAATGTGTGGAAACCAATGAAAGGGATTGGGTAATTGTATAATTATTACATAGATTACATAATGAAGGGTATCTGTGACTCCCTGTGTAAATGTAGCTTACATATAGCAAACAGTCCACCTTTGTGTAAGAATTTTTATTAAAATCCGCTTTCCTGCTTTTGCTTTGCAGGTAGACTTGAATGAGGAGGAAACTATCCTCATTATCAGACGTCTCCACAAAGTGCTGCGTCCTTTTCTACTGAGGAGGCTGAAAAAAGAAGTGGAATCCCAATTACCAGAAAAGGTTGTTGCTGCTCACATGTTTCTAGGTTATGTTAAATGTAACTCGCTAACGGACATGTATAAGTAACTTTGTACAGCTGTATTTTTTGAAAAAAACAGAAATAGGGTGCTGTTGAGAGGTAACTAATGAGGGCAGAGATCTCACAGGGTTTAGTGTACTCTGGTGGTTGCTGACACTTAAATGCACCATTGTCTGCCTTTTTGATGGTTACAATCTCACTGGAATTGTGGGAAACTCACCCGTTCGCAAACCCACATTCAATATGCATATTAATTTCATGAAGCTGTTACTCAGACCAGATTTGTTTGAAACAAATTTGTAGATCTTCCTATCCATCAATATTCATGCTAGATTATTTTCTATGTTTTCATATGTTAACCCATCTCAATTTGATTTTTAGGTTGAATATGTCATCAAATGTGACATGTCTTCTCTACAGAAGGTTCTGTATCGTCACATGCAAGCTAAGGGAATTCTTCTAACTGACGGTTCTGAGAAGGATAAAAAGGTACACTCGATGTTAGTGGTACAAGTATTGAGTGATGTATCTTCTATGGCTTGAATATCTTTCATTTTATATTTAGGCTTTCACTTCATCCTCCAGAGTATTATTTTTAAAGAAAGCATCTTAGGAAATTCAGACCAAAAAGGCAGATTTCAAAGCATCAAAAATGTTTTGTGTCCATAAAAGGTGGCCGTGTCCCCAGAAGGCTGCTGCAGTCTTTGAGGTGACTTGTTCAATTGTGAGGAATGGAATTTTTTTGTAGCTTTAATAGTCAAGATTTTATTCATACTTTGGAGCAATTATAACCTCAACCAGCATAACATTTGTTTCTTACAGTTGACAAACCAGGGTATTTTGTCTGTGTTTCAACACAGATCCTAGACGTGAAAAGTTTGGGCCACAGTGTCAAGGTTGACATTTAATTAAGTTGCATATTCCTGGCTGTGTTGTCGGGTATTACAGTGCAATATATAATTTCATCCCAATAGTACAGCCAAGTGCATTTGCTCAGACTTGAATCCTAGTTGCATCCTAGTTTCAACAACTAAGAAGAACAGTATTTTGATCTTATAAATTGTACAGGAAAATAGTGGGTAGAAATTCCGTCTGGGTTTCAATTTCCTATACTAACATAGCACTTCAGAATTTGGCTAATTGTTGAATTCAGTTCTTTAGAGAAACCTATAGAAAAACTGCTTCAAAATAAATTTCCAATGTAGAATTATTGGGTTTATGTTTAAAGGTCATTTGGTGGTGATCCCTGCACACCTCTTAAATTGTGTATAGAGTTCCTACTATTTTTTGTCTTCAGGGTAAAGGTGGTGCTAAGACCCTCATGAATACCATAATGCAGCTGAGAAAGATATGCAATCATCCCTTCATGTTCCAGCACATAGAGGTAAGTACATCATTTTGTTCATTGTTTAGTTCCTAATATCAATTGAAGTTGGAGTTACTGGTTAGACCATAGCTGCAGTACAGCCTAGTTAGGTCGCAGCTGGAGTACTTAGATCAATTTTGGGCACCTCATAGCAGGAAAGGTGATGAGGACTTGGAGAGAGTGCAGTGAAGATTTAAAAGATTTATACCAGGAATGAGGGGCTTTAGTTGTGAGAAGAAATTGGGACAGTTGGGACTATTCATTGGAGTAGAAAAGTTGTTCTGTGACAGTCAAGACTAAAACAAAATCTGAATTACTAATTTGTTCAGGTTAAAGGAATATATAATTGGTTTTGAAAATAATGAAGGAAGAAGAGCAGACTTCTGAGGCTGAACGGTTGGGTTGAATGAAGTTGGATGCTACACTGGAAGCAAGCAGCTATCTGAATTGATTGGGACAGTGTATAGTTGTCGTTTGAACTTTCTGGTGATCAGGCCAAGGCGTTGTCAGAGGTTGAATGTATTGGCAACCAGGCACGATCACTACAGTGCAATAGTAGGAGAGTAGTGTTGTTGAACCGCTTGTTGGGACATCCTCCCGACGTGAAATGTGCTATACAAATGTAATTTGTTGTTGTCCTGTCTGCCTGTTGATGAACAGGCAGAGAGAACTCTTCTTAAATAAAATCTGCCCTTGATTCCTCCAATCTCACAAACTTCAGACCCATCTCAAACCTGCCCTTCCTGGCCAAAGTTTTGGAACATGTCATTAGCAAGTCAATTTCACTCATATCTCTCCCTGCACTCCCAACAACAATTTGGATTTATATAGCGCCCTCCACCCTGGACGGTGTCTCAGAGCGCTTCACAGTAACGGATCCCGGGGCCGAGCCAGAGGGAGGGGAAGAAGCTGACCAAAGGCACGGTTGAAAAGAAAGGTCTTCAGCCGATACCTGAAAATAGGAAGAGAGGAGGCGAAGGGAGTGAGGAAGGGAGTTCCGGAGCCTCGGGGCTGAAGACACGGCCGCCGACTCCATACTCTTAAACCCCTCCAGTCCGGTTTTCACCCTTCCCACAGCATAGAGACAGTGCTCGTTAAAGTAACAAATGACATCCTCTTTCTCTGATCAGGGCTCCCCCTGCCCTCCTCATTCTCTTGGACCTCTCTGCCTCCTTCAACAGTCGATCACGCCACCTTTATGCACTCCCTCTCCTCCCTCATCCACCTTAGTGGCACTGCAATTGCATGGTTCGAGTCCTACTTAACAAACAGGCAACAGTACATCTCGACAAGTGTTTCCCCCCCGAGGCTCACTTGGCCCTCTTTTTCTCATCTACATGCTCCCTCCCTCTCGGCGATGCGATCTGCAGACATGGGGTCAACTTCCACATGTATGCGGATGACACACAAATCTACTTTTTCCTCCAGCTGCGACTCGCAGTCCACTGATGTCCTGTCAGCTTGTTTGACAGACATCAAGACCTGGATGAGCACAAATTTCTTGCAGCTGAATGTTGGCAAGATGGAAACCATAACCTTTGGCTCCTATCAATGTTTTCGTTACTGAGAGTCTGGTCTTATCACCCACCCCAGGCTCTTCCTCAGACTCTCCAAACCCATGCACAACTTAGGTGTCGGGTTCAATCCCCAGCTCTCCTTTCTCCCCCATATCTGCTCCTTGACCAGGGATGCTTTTCCCCACTTCCATCACATTGCCCACCTCCGTCCGTACCTCACAACCAATGCAGCCGAAAACCTCGTCCACGCCTTCATCACACCCCGGCTGGACTATTCAAATGCCCTCCAACTGGTCTCCCCAGCTCCACCATGCACAAAATCCAATTAGTTCAAAACTCCTCGCACTTTCCTACCTATCTGATCTGCTTACTCCCCCACCTGCTGCCTCCACTCAGCTGGCTCTGGCCTCCTGTTTGTCCTTCGTGCCCTCTGCTCCACCATTGGTGGCCATGCCTTCATTGCCCCGAATTGCTGCAATTCTCTCCCTCAATCCCTCCATCTTGGCTTCTCCCTCCGCATCTTAAAATGCACCTAAAGTACCTTCCTTTTTTGATCGTGCTTACAGTCATTTCCCCACTCCCTCTGGCTCGTTGTCAGGCTGTGCGTGAAGGGCTCTATGTAAATGCAAGTTGTTGTGGATGTTAAAAATCCCATGATGTTTTTTGAAAAGAGAAGGTAGTTTCTCCTGATGCACTGACCTACAATCCTCTAAATAAAATTGGTCATCATTCTACAGTCGTTTCTGGAACCTTGCTACATTGAAATTAGCTGCCACATTCACCTATAAATAAACCTCTGAAGGGCTTTGGGAGGTTTTAATGCAATAATATCAAATGCAGAGGATTATTCTAAATAGGCTGACTTCAGTCATAAGAAATGCTGGACAAAAAAAAACAAGGTTCGCCATCCTGGTGATCGCATGCACATATGTCCTGAACTATCTATGTTCAATATGTACAGTCTATAGGCTTTCAGATAGATGTGGTGAATTATTTGAAAGGAATTATTTCATTGTTTTTAATAAAGCAAAATATTCCAAAAACTGTAAATGACACAAAGTGTTACACTCCAGGGGACAAGATGGGAAAAACAAGACATCAAATCAGGTTTATTTGTTTGCTTGCCTTAGGATAATCAGTAACCCAAGTATGTAAATGTACAAAACTTGCAAAACTGAATCAAAACACTAAAACTCAAAACGCTCAATCAAGATGACTCAAAAGTCTGAATATGATTTCTAAAATTGTAATGTGTAAAATCATAAAGTGAAGTGATTCCTGGGGTTATTTAGAATTAAATATTTTAAGTGGGGAGGAGTTGTGTGCCGTTATTACAAACCTAGGCTGAAACAAATTGCAGTGACTTGCATTTATATTGCATATATAATTTCAAAGCTGTTGGCAATGAGGAACTGAATTATTTTATTGGACAGTAAAGTCTTTCTCTTTGAAAGTAGATAATTTAGATCCTGGGTCTAAATTCAAAGCTATTTAGAGCAGCTGAAGGCAGCCATATGATCGACAAGTATCTTGTTTTTAAAAAAAAACTTTGTCTCAATCTCTTAACCAGAGAGATGCACCATTGTCTGATTGCAAATGAGCTAAAACACAACCACCTTTGTGCTGTTGCAATCTTCTATATTCTTCTAAATCAAAGACAATTAAATTTATGGCTGACCAACCACAGTGACGTTACCTGGATTGCTTATCAAACGGAGGCAGCCAGCTAATTTGTTCAGCCGCATGAAAAATCCTGCGGGAAAAATGCTTTGGCTTATTTACACTCTTGAGGCCTTATTCTCATTGCATTGCCTCTCAAGATTCCACAATGTTTTGAGGCTGGTGTGGAATCGGATGTGTTCTCAATGTCTTGACTGTCCACTTTTCCCTCAAGTCAGAACTTAGTTCCTGATCTGTCCATGGCTGGACATCTGATGGCTGATGAGAAGTGCTTCAATGGCCTCTTGCTTAACTTCTTCCTTCAGTGTTAATGTCCAGTTTCAACTGTTGGGTGTGACATGACCTAGATTTCAGCTGTTAAGCAGTTTAGATTGGGAAGCTGGATTTCTAACCGCCTGCTTCCGGCCCATTCAATCTCACTGTAAGTGGGAAGACCGGTTCGGCGCACTTGCCTAAGTAAGCACAGGTGCAGATTGTCATTAAATAATGTTAAAAGTGCTTGTTGATTGAATTTCATTAATGCTGTTGGTGTTTCTAATTTTATTTGTGTTTTTTAAAAAAACTGCTTATTGTTGTCCACTACTGCAAAAACAATTGTTATCTTGTCACAGGAATCATTTGCTGAACATTTGGGTTACAGTGGAGGAATCATCACTGGGTAAGTGACAATATAACTTTTTAATAATCTGAATAAAATGTTATTTGGTGTTTTATACTGTATGCACCATACTAACAAGAAATGACATGGGAAGAGAAGGAGTTGAAAGTAAAAATAATATTGCTTTCCCTTTTCATCCATCAGGACTTTGTAGAAAGAATTACAAAGCTGCTTGCTTTGAATTAGAATAGTCTCTTCTTTGCATCCTCCGCAAATCTGTTAGTAATTGTGCTTATGATCAAAATGCAGCCAAGAAATTTGTTTCCATACTCTACAGCTTTCACCCGCTATTAAAACCTGTCCCCTTTTACTCAATTTGCACATGTTATAGTTTCCAGGGCTATGGGGAGAGAGCAGGGGAGTGGGATTGATTTGGATAGCTCTTTTCAAAGAGCCAGCACAGACGCGATGGGCCAAATGGCTTCCTTCTGTGTTGTATAATTCTGTGGTTCTACTTTGGGAGAGGAAAGTATTAATTGCTGAGGGTGATCTGAAATCTGCACCTGAGAAGCTTCAAGAGAAAAGGAAGCGCTCAACACAAAAGAAACCTTATATTCTCAGATGACACATTATATTGCAGAGCAAGGGAACTACATACATATCCAATATCCTTCTGCAAGGTGTGAGAGGAGGAAATATATTCTTTTAAACTTGTATTAAGTAGATATTTTTTAAATGAGAGAGGGGGTGAGATTGAAATGAGGTGGTTATAAATTTAGGTTTGATTCTACATTACAATTTAATTAAATAGGCAAAGAGTTTATTTCATATCCAGAATTTCTGGTCTTTAATAAAAGCAATACAATGGAATGGAAAATATGCTTCTTTAGAAATTTGGAGCTAACTGGCGCAGAATCCTCCATTTGAAGTTCAAGGCAACCCTCTATAATGTGCTTCTTTGCAGTGTAGATTTGGTACTGGCACAGCTACACTTTGGACCCCTTTGAATGCAGTAGTACGGGTAGCAATGATACACATATGATGGGCTGAATCGACTCTTTCTGAACTTAAAATGTCTATGTTTCAGTGTATTGTATTAGCTAGAAAGAGAAGCTGATTTGGTAGCTGTACATTTGTCTTGATGTTGCTTGGCAAGATGTTTCATTGTGGATTAAATAATCAGAGTAATGCTGAGATTTAACCTGCCTAACCAGGCTCTAATGCATTGTTTCCAAAATAGTCCTGACCTTTATCGAGCTTCAGGAAAGTTTGAGCTATTGGATCGTATTTTACCAAAACTACGAGTTACGGGTCACAGAGTACTGCTGTTCTGCCAGATGACTTCGCTGATGACCATCATGGAAGACTATTTTGCTTACAGGAGCTTCCTGTACTTGCGCCTCGATGGTATGTTTTCCTTTTAGCTGGCGCTTATCTATTTTGATAAGACCGCAGTTTTTTAAGATCTTATCTGTTAGGAAAAGGATAGTACAGGAATGATAGCGATGCATCATTGTGGTAGTATTTGAATTTGTATAAATCTAATATTTGCACAGAAACCTGGTCAACCCAGCCGCATTTTTAAAAATAAAACATTTATTGCAATAAACAATGCTTTTCTATATTTAAAAAATACGTAATTTAACTTTTTTTTAATGTAAGTTGTGACCTGGATAAACATGAGGCAAATCACTTCCTATTCTGTATTACATAGACCTTTTGATCTGTGTAGGAAGTATGCATCAATTATGCATGATCATTGCTTAGCATACAGAATATAGTCAGTTGTTTGCACATTCATTTTCCATGCCCGAATAGCTTGGTGTAAAAGCCATTTTGGATAATGTTCCAATTTTCATCAAGTTGCATCATGTGTGAACTTATGTGGGTTGAAATACAAATAATGTGGTACAATTTGGTTCTGAGCAGCTAATTTACATTTTGATCTCAGTATAACCAATGTTTGTAAAACTGTTCTGCAGTTTATCAGGATTCTGCATATTACATCTGGTCTGTCAAATGTATTTATTGTTGAATGCATTTGTTCAATACAAACTAAATCAATACAGGTTGGCCAGATGCAGTGGGTCCTGCTGGATAGAGTAGCAAATATTTTACATAAATAAATAGCTAAAGATGCTTCCTCAGTTGTATTTTTATATTTTGCCTCTAGGCGTATATGTTTTTTTTTAGTCATATTCAGTCATGACCTGGTTTCGTACAAATCTGCAGAGATGTTGTACTTGATGAAATTTCTCTGAGATGTTTTTCTAATATGTGTGCGCTTTGGCTTCAAAACAATTCTATTGCATGCTGTCAATAATAAGCATGTTGAAGCATTGAAATGCAGGCTCATTTATCAAGCAGAATCAATTTTATGAACCCTTTCCTTTATCGAATGTTTATAATTGAGTAACTTTAAAATTTAGAAACATTTTATTCATCCTGTGGCACGTTGTTTATCCAAATGCTTTGGAGTCCATTCTCTGAATTGCTGCAGACATTTTGTATACTTTACCAATGTGCTCATTATATTCTGTAGAAATTCTGCACGCACAAATTTTCCATAATTTCTTTTCAGGACTGACTGGGCATTTTTGTATTTCCGGAGAAGCAAAGTTGTGGTATGAAAAATGGCTTTTAAATGTTTTTTTTTCTCTCTTTTCCCCCTTTCTCAGGTACAACTAAGGCAGAGGACCGTGGTGCTTTGCTAAAGATGTTCAACGAGCCAGGCTCAAAGTATTTCATTTTCTTGTTGAGTACCCGAGCTGGTGGCCTGGGCCTGAACCTCCAGGCTGCGGATACGGTCGTTATCTTTGACAGTGACTGGAACCCACACCAGGTGTGTGTTTTATTTGACTACTCAAGAGTAATGCGCTTTGTAAGATGCACAACGTAACCACATGAGAAGCTTATGAAAATAAAATGTCCGTGCCAGTATGTGCTATAAAAATCCAGAAAAATAGTAGAGAGCTTGATATCTGCACTAATTGGGGCAGGCTATATTTGTTTTTCATGTGTAATGTGTACCCTGTACTTACTTGCCTGAATAAGATAGCTCTCTCTCCATGATTGTGAGAGTGTGTGCCCTGTTTCAAACTTTTTATGTACAATGCAATATGGGTCTGAGTACAGTGGACTTCTTGTACTATTGCTACAGAACTTCCTGCCCCCCCCGCCTTCTGTAGTATTTTCTCTTCAAGCTATATCTATATAGTATGTAGGAGAGGGAGTACGAGCAACCTACTCATTGCCACCGTCTGCTAGATGTGTGATAAATGCAGGATCACAGACATGACCATGATATGCTGCCACTTCATGCCACAGAAATGTAATCATCTCTGCTATCTTTGATTCTTTCTGGTAATGCTCATCCGTGTTCTTACTAAACTGCTCAGGAACCAGGTTTCAGGCTTCTCTTAATGATGTGTTGATCTAGTTTCTTCACCTTGTTTTAGAATATTTAAGCTTGCGCAAGAGTTAGATTTCTTTCTTTCCTTGTGTCTTGACAGCCTATTGTGGAGAAGTTTAAAGACGCAAACTATTCTTTCTCACATTAGAGCGTGCTGGACTGCAAGGAGAGAAAAATGGGAAATAAATACAAGGCAACTTTGGTAACTTGGTCAAAAAGCTGCAATATAGTGGGGCATTGATCACGTCAAGAAGTTGAATTCAAAAGGCTGTTAGGTAATTTTGGCTTAAGATCCAGCAAAACCTTGTTTCTTTTTCTCTTTTTATTCTTCCAGGATTTGCAAGCCCAAGATCGAGCTCATCGTATTGGACAGCAAAATGAAGTCCGTGTTCTGCGCCTTTGCACTGTTAACAGTGTAGAGGAGAAGATCCTGGCTGCTGCCAAATACAAACTGAACGTGGATCAGAAAGTTATCCAGGCCGGTATGTTTGATCAAAAATCTTCAAGCCATGAGCGTCGAGCTTTCCTGCAGGCTTTGCTGGAACATGAGGAGCAGAATGAGGTAAGTTACCTTGTACAATGATTGTTTACTGTATTACTACAAGTATTTGCTCTGTAAAATTTAAAATTACACAAACAGAGGCTAAAGTCCTGAAGCTACCCCTCAATCTCTCAACTGAAATTATGTATTAATGCTGCATAATCTGATATATAGCATTAAATGTCTTAACAGGAGTATGCATATAATAAAAAAAAGTTTTTGAATTGGATGTTACAGGTTAAATATTCAACACCAATTCTAAAACTGCAGTGCTATGAAAAAAAATGTCAAATATAAAATGCACAATGTTGATGATTCCCGACTTGAGTTCAGTTGTATCTCTCAACCAGTTTGTGGGAACGGTTCTTGCTCATAAACCCATTTTGCCACATTTGTACAAACGAAAACTTTTACTGAGAATTTTCTGGTGTTTCAATGAGAGCCACTTGCAATCTGCCCAAATACCCCCAGTCAAACCAATTGAGTGTTGTCATTTGAGGACCCATTATATTTTTTTCTTGCTGCCAGCTGTTTGATAGGGAACAACTGGTCTGCTTTGTAATTATTTTAAGGCTTATCTTAATTGTACTTTAAGTCAGCAAAGCGTGTGAAGTTCTGTCATCCTCTGCATCTAAATCCTTATGTGTGTATAAGCCCCATTTTTTTTCAATGAGGCCATATTGATCATAGTTGGAAAATTCTCCTGGTTTAATGGGTGGGCAGGTTGGGAGAGAGAGAGAAGGAGGAGCTCAGCTGGCTCTGGCCTTCTGCACTTCCCTCGTCACCTCCACTCCACCATCGGCGTCTGTGCTTTCAGCCACTATGCTCTGAGTCTCTGGAACTCTCCCTCAATCTCTCCACCTTACCCCTCCTTTCGTAGTCTTCAGATCACAACTGAACGCCTTCCTTTTTGACTGTGCCTATGGTCACCTCTCTTCCTGCACAACATCAAACTCTGCCACTGATAAACACTCCAACATTATATGTGAATGCAAGTTGTGATAGCTGCACACAGCTAGGCATTCTGCAAACAAAACAGATGAATTTAACCTGCCCAACATTAAATTGCATTTTAAAATGAGTCGCATCATGTTTTTATAGTGTCCTAAAAGTTACATGACAATTATGTCATTGAGTATGTTTCAATCAGTTTGATATTTGCCTGGAAAAGCATCCAGTGGTCCATGAAATGAGATCAATTTAGCACAGCACCTGCAGAACTGTTTACAATCTTCTAGAAAATCTCCAACTGAAACAAGTGCTTAGATTTTTCTATATTCATTCCACTAATTTCTATATTCATCAAGGTTTGGGTTTTGAAACCTGAGGATCTAATGTGTTTAAAAAGGATCGTATAGTTTTACTCACCAATAGGTCAATTTAAAAGGAAAAAATCATTAATTTGATTCTCCACTCTCTGTGTGCCATCTCTTCCTCTTCCCCACCATGCTTGGAATATTGGAATATGGATTTGAGTGCGTTACCTCAAGTATTTTAACTAATATTACCATGAGTATGCAAGCTTTATAATGACCATGTATAAGATAAATAGTAACATGAAGGCAAAGGTTTTCATGATTTGCTGCTTATCAAAATCCATTTTCATATTTACTAAAATTTAATTCTGATAAAAGGACGATCTTCAGCAAAGCTACAATGAATGCCATAATATCCTGAAATTGAAATAGCGTTGCAATTAAATGACTATATAGAGTGGAAATTATTGATATGTGCCAGTATCATGAATCTTGAAATGAGCAGTTACCAAAACTACTAATCAGATCTCAATTTTTGTGTTACACAAGATATGTGGATGTATTTGTAAAGTTACAAAAGCACCGGAAGTGGTAGATTATAATCAGAATTTCAGGTATTTAGTCAGTACCAAGGCATGATTGACCCTGAATACTGTTGCAATGAACGCTTTTGCAAAATAGATAACAAAACTTCATCTGTCTCAAGTAGTGTTTGTTACCCTACATTGCATTTCAAATGAGCTACTGTAATAAGTAGATAATTTCCATTTCATTTTGGCTGCTAATTCATTAACAGTGGAAGCATCTTTATTGTGCAGTTAATGTGAGTGGGGATTGAGGAGAAAGGTGCAGTGAAAAGTAACTGTTTCCAGGTTGTGTAATCTGTTCAAGGGATCATGGTTAATACAGATATTATGCAAAGTATTGCAACTAGATTTTGAGTTTTTGCTATTTGTTGAATTTAATTCTAAAGTGTCATTCTTAGTGGGCTAGAAGGAAATCTATCTGTAAATCAGTGTAGTACATGGCCTTGTAGCTAGTTGATTGTGCTGTAAATGTTGATCTGTTGTCAAACACCTATGACTTCAGGTGGGTTTGGGGAGTTATAAAGCATGGTTATGCTCTTAACATTAATCTAATCATTTAATCTTTCAAACTGACTGATGAATTTCAGTACCTTTTAAGAGAGTTGTTATCCCAGGGTTCTGTTACAGTTCCAAAAGAACTGTAATTATAATAAATTGCTTCCAAGACACTAATTATTTAATGAATTGTTTTCATCAGGAAAGTTTGCATCTATGGGAATGGTCCTTTGGTCAAAATTCTTCCCCTTCGGAGGGGGGAAAGGATCAAAGTGGATCAGATTGCTATTCAAACTCATTATTTTTTTAAAAAAACTAAGACTAATAAGAATGGGTGCTGTTTCTGTGTCTGATGTTTAAGCTGAATGAATTTAGCAGAGGTCACGTTGTTCCATTGAAGTCCTCAAACGGTTGATTTTTTTTGGCGAAAAGTTCATTGTTTAAAAGGAATTCAACTCCCCCCTTCAAAATTAAGGAACATTTTGGTTTTCTTGCTAATGCCTTGAAGTACAATCCCAAGGCCTTCCGACGTGAACGGCGCTGTACAAATATAGTTTTGTATTGTTTTGTACAATACTTTGTTGTTGAAAAAAAATCCAACTTGTAACACTGCATTCTTTCACCACCAGGGGGACACGATTTCGTCTTCCTGCAGTGCTACCTGGGTAGGATAACCTCACTGGCCATCTTCTGCTCTATAACTGTGCTCGATAATTTTAAACCAAGTATCTTGCTATAAACTCTTCATTTATATGCTTATAGTCTCAGTCAATTGCCTAACTTTTTTAATATTCACGGCAATTGACTGGTTATAAATCCCAAATCTTGAAAAAACAAGTTATTTATAATCTGTAATAACCTGCTGAGAAATGTCTCTGCTCTTATGGTACTTTGCTGAAAGCAAGCTGCACCATAGTTAGATTAATCCAAAAATTCCTATAACCTATAAGTAAATTTACCTGAACTCCTTTTTGCCATTTGTTTTAATTAATGTTACATTCATATTTCTTAAAGCTTTGGAACCATCCATCCTTGTAATGTTTGTGAATATAAGTTAATCCACGGGTGGACAGTAATGGTGGCAATGTATTTTTTTCCAGAGTGCTACGAGTTAAGAGTATTTAAAGGAAAATAGAACCTAGGAAAAGTAATGAGGCAGTGAAAGGTTAAGAGGGTCAAAATCGAGACAAAAATTAAATTGGATGTTACATAGAGAAATTGAAAAAAAAATCAAAGGGCACCAGCCTTGTGGTCAGATAGCTTTGCTATGCTTTTTTTAGTAAACTAGCTTTTCTAATTCGATTACATTTCTACAAATTCGTACAATATTGGCAATAGTGTTGAGACATTTTAAATGTTTAGAAAACAAAATTACTGTATGCAATGGAGTCATGTCATTTGCTTTTGTATTTTAATTGCACTAAGCACGTCAAGAAAAAACAAGTTGAATCTGCCTTTGTGATCTGTCTACAATGCATTTTGTTGTTTAACAATGATTTCCAGATTTTGCAAATAATGATTGATAGGATTAGCAAATGCTTAAAAGAAGAGTAGGTAATGGGCCAGAATAATCGAGGTTCTGATCTCTATGGGGCACCCATGCTAATGAGGTGCCACTGTGATTAATAAATATCCGCAAGTAAATTTAAAGGGCCTTGCATCTCATGCAGTAACTAAGTTCTAAAGCCTCCACAGATCTTACAATGGATTTTAAGTTGTATACAATTCGATACTATGTGATACCAATCCCCCTTCCCTTTCTGACTTGGCAATGCTTCTGTTCTGTAATGATTTCAAAGTGCATGACTGTGGGGGGAAGGGGGAAATTATGTACCCTGAACATAATGATCCACATTAACAGTCTGAGCATAATGAACAACACCATCCAATTTTGAATGTAAACCTATAATCTGCTGGGTTATTGCTTGCTTACGTGTTCTTTCCTCTTTGAATTGCAAAATAAATGCATGCATCTGTCTGGTGGTATTATTCCAGATATCCTAAATTTAAATTGTTGTAAATTAGATGTTACAAGATGACAACTTTCAGAGCTGCACTTTACCTTTCATGTAAATCTTGAGCTAAAATTAATACAGAATTGATACACATCAAGAACAGAGGACAACAGCAAGCTATTGGCAACCCTTCTGGACTTCTAAATGTTCTCATCTTGTGTTTTTGTTCACTTTTTCTAAGATGGTGAAGCTCTTAAGTTTCCAATTTAAAACTTGTGTTTTTATAGATTTCAGTTTCTTACGTGTCCATCAAGTCTTTGGACCTCAAAGTATATAAGATTGCTGGAAGGTCTGATTGAAGAAGTACCATTGCTGATAAGAATGCTTTTTGCGATTTTGTATGAGGGATAAATCAAAAGACTTAAGGAGTGGGTAAGAGAGCAGGGCAATGTTGAGTAAGTGAAGTGGAACCCCTGATTGGAGGTGGCCACCCCTACACCAGATGATTGAACTTGCCAAGAATGAGATTGAGAGGAGTCTGGTGGAGTGGAAGCTAAGCACTGGGGATATAGTCAATCCTGATGCACTGTATTTGCTCAACAAATTCTAAATTTAAAATTTAGACAATTTGCATTATTCATTTCTTGAAAACTACTGGCAGCAGCCAAACATAACATTCTATAATTTTATCGCTTTAGGTATTGTAGTGACACAGGCTATAATTAGATATTGAGGAATCCTTTTGATAATGACAAGTTATCAAGACGTAATGCAATGTTGTCTTGAAACAGTTGCATATTGAAATGAGAAGTCACAAAAATGGACACCGCTGTCTATTTTTACTGTAATTGTCAGTTACATTTGGAAATTAGAAACATTGATTAAAAGGAACTAGTATTAGTTTGTTTTTCCTGTGTACTGGGCCATTCAGAAAATATATTTTTATAACTCCCATTTTATATTAAAACCACTTCTGCCAGGCAGTATTGTTTCTAAAACCACAGAATCTTAGATTTCACTTCATGTTTTGTATTGACGATTTGCTTTGGTGCTTAAGTGGTGTAGCTGCTAACTCTCTGGCCAGTGTCCCTTCATTTTTAGAAAGAAGAGTCTAACATGTTTTGCCTGTGCATTGAAGAAATTAGGTGGGAATAATTGATTCTGTCTATGGATAATTAGTTGCCATTCAAATAACCTAAATATCTTAAATTGACTTTCTAATCCAAACAAGTAGGGAAGCCAATTTGCTTCTAAGTGGGAAATCAAGATGCCTGCCCATCGTGTTTTATAAATCTCTGATTTTTTTTTCATTTACCAATTTCAACATGCTGACTGATTTATCTTTTCATTGTGCCCACTGGAAATTTGAGTGTTTGTTAAATTCCAGGTATTTGTCTCGCATGTGTTGAATATTAGTATACTCCACCAACTGAATTTTCCATAAATGTATGCCAAATTGAATGTATATCATTGGATTCTTTCAAGCCCAGAATTATCTCCATGAATATAAGAAATGGTTCTTAGACATATTGTGTCTTTAGTCTCACCTCAGTGATTTACAGATCTTGGACAGATTGGCAAGATTTTCAGTGGGTACATGTTATTTTATCCTAGAATTGATACCCTCTTAAAATAACATTCTTTTCACAGTTGCCAAATTTCAATTAATATAAAGCTATTAGTTGAATATATATATATTTTAATTATTTTTTCATTTTGATGGAAAACTGAATAAACTGCGTTAGAAATAAATTTAATGGTTTAATGGTTATCTCCACATGCAGCTCTGCTAACTGCTGATTCCACTATCACTTTCGATTCTCTAGACATCCCTGTCTTAACCTTTCATGCATCACAAGGAATTGAAATATATTTGCATTCTGATATCCAATTGTCTATGTTGCACATTGCTTGTTAGATACACCAGGATTTAAGACTTAGCAAATATCCAATTTGTGTGTATCTTTTAAATCATGACCATTACTTTGTGGACTCATTAGTGTGGAGTGGCCCTTACCGCTTGGTATTTTTTAAAAAATACTTTGATTAATGAATTTGTGAACAATTTTTTAATTTTAAAACAAGTGCAGTTTGGAAGAGAGATTTTAAGTTTAATTACGTCTCAGTAATTGGGAATAGATTAGTTGTTAACTTTACAACTACTACTTGTACATAGCAACTTAATTTTTTAACTTGTAGGAAGAAGATGAGGTTCCTGACGATGAGACCCTGAATCAAATGATTGCAAGGCACGAAGAGGAGTTTGAATTATTCATGGTAAGTACACATAATTGTACGCAGTTAAAAGTCCTATTTTTTTTCCATTGTACCTGTAGAGTCTAAACAAGTAAGGCTGCCACTTGCATATTCACTTATGGTTCAGAGGCATTAAAATTATACTGCAGAACCTTTTGGGGGGCAAAGAAATGGACATTGCCAGCAGGCAATCTTGAGCTTCTTACGTAAGCTACACTTGCAAAGGCTGATTACACCTCCCTATTCAGTGAACAGACACAGTTCATAGGAAGTTGCATTTTGATGTGTTGTATTCTATATTTATGACCAAACAACAATGTACTTCCACATCCACTATTGCAAATATACAAACTAGGTTTATTTACTAAACGCTTGCCTTCAATTATTGGATTTAATTGTATACCCCAGTGCAATGTACATTCGAACATTATTTAATTTACCATCAGAGGAATTGAAAGATTTAAACTTTAGTTGCAGTTTGATATCTCGGGGCTTTTTAATGATTTGCACAACACAAGTTTGTGTTGAATTCTGTGCAGCTTGTGATTTCGGAATTGCTGTTAGAAAACACTAATATCTAATACTCTGTGAATGAAAATGTTGCCTTGGCATAAACAGTGAGAGCAGCAGTCGTGTGTTTATTTGTGACAAAAGATTTTAATTAGTTAACAATAATGCACTTTTGCCATGTACTGCATTTTAAATAGTAGATTATTGATCCTCACTTAAAATTTATTTTCCCTTTCCTTCTATGCCCCCCTTCCCTCCAGGACCTGTTTTGAATTTTTAAACCAACTCACTTGACCAAATAAAAATCATTGCAGTTAACAGTTCTATTTGGATGTTTGACACATTATAGCGCATGGATCTAGAACGGCGGAGAGAAGACGCACGCAATCCTAAACGCAAGCCTAGGCTGATGGAAGAGGATGACCTGCCATCCTGGATCATCAAGGATGATGCAGAAGTTGAACGGTTGACTTGTGAGGAGGAGGAGGAGAAGATGTTCGGACGAGGTTCACGTATGCGCAGGGACGTGGACTACAGTGATGCTCTTACAGAGAAGCAGTGGCTAAGGGTAAGCACTGCAGATAACTAGTACTTGGCTTAATATTTCACCAAAGGAAATTTAATTGATTAAGGCTGTGGTGGCCCACCTTTATGGTCGTCCAACAAAATAAATATTCTTGATTGAATATTTCTTGATTTATAGCATAAATGACGTCAATGACGGTTGGCCACCACTGGGTAAAGGCATTTATTTTCAAGTTGATACTAAACTGAATGCAATACTCCAAATAAATTTGATTTGGCTTTGTGCTTATGCAGCAGTATTTCTTTGTTCTTTTATTCTATTCCATTTATGGTAAATCAGCGCATGTTACGACCGTTTTAGAACGTAGAAATTTTCCGCCCAGAAGAGGGTAATTTGGTCCATCGTGTCTGTGTTGGCTCTTTAAAGAGCAATCCTTTCAGTCCCATTAAGCTGACCTTTCCCTTCACCCCTATATTTACTCCTTAAAGAAACACTGCAATTTAAGATTTTTGATTGCTCTCTGCACTTATGAACTAGTTTTTAATGGCTTATGTGCCTGGGACAACAGCATATGCCATGCTTTGTACCTTCTGATTTATCATGTATTCCCTTCTGCTATTATTTGTCCAAAGTTTGCTGTGAACCCAAGCTCATTTCAAAAGTTTCAGGACACCCAAACGACTCCATCTTGGGATCATTACAGCTAATCAAAAGGATATTGAGTTATCCTTAGTCTAGATTCAACTCCAGTTTCAGAGGTGAACACTCTGAAGATTCTCAACCGTTGCATACCTAATGTGCCTAGATTAAAATTATCAGTTTTGTTATTGTTTGGTTACTATGCCCAAATCAAGACCTGTCTACAGGAGTCTACTCATCCCTACTGAAACAAACCAAGAACATTTTGGTCTGGCATTTTAATTCTTTTTTTCTTCAAAGGTGGGTATGACACGAAAAATAAAGGAAAGGAATATTCAAAGTTATAATTTGAAGTAATCCATTTGGATTTAGTTTGTTCAAAGTTCTTTGCTGGGTTATTTGATCATTTGGACAAAAGCACTATTCCGATGTTGTAGCTCTGTTACAACAGTTCTACAGTATCATTAAAAACAGGCACTTTACGGTAGATCCTGTGAAGTGCTTTGAGATGTCTTGACTATGTGATAAGGGATTGTATCAAATGGAAGGAATATTATGCGATTTGTACAAATGACAGCATTGTGTCTGGATATGTGCGATCTCCCCATTTATTGATAGATTAACTCTACTCAATTAGATGTACTGTATTAGGTGTCTTACCTAATTGTTGTCTATACAGTTGTAGTCTATATACCTGGGTACTGTCAGTGTATCTCTGCAATATGTATCAAATGCCATTTGAGATTGTAGTTCATTAAAATCCAACTGAGCTTATATTTAATTCAGTGCATCAGCTGGCTTCTGCTCTGGGCTCACACAACCCTTTGATACCTGCAAACTAGATTGTTGTAAACTGTGGCTTTAGTCTGTGACCTTTGCCAGACGATTTAACCACAGGGGTATTTACATCTGATCCTGGTCTGTGTGGTGTGCAAGAAACACTTTTCCAGGAGGGTTGAGAGATCATGATCAAGAGTGGGAGCTCTGATTGGTATTCCCCTCCCTAACCTATTCCCCCCACCCCCTCTTTTCCCCCCCAGCTGCTCTGACTGAGATCACGTGACAAAGCCAGGTCCATCCTGTGAACTTCCTGGTCTATAGGGATGAGCTGCTCGCTGAATAAACTTGCTGTGCCATTGGAAGAGTTATTGATTTTGTTTCATTAATTTCCTTAAAATATAATTTAGTATTGATCAACCAACTAGTGCAGCTCATAACATTTTTCTGGTTGTATTCTAATTTGAAAAATATTTTCTTTAACTTGGCTTCTTTGCATGTAAAATTGACTTACTGTAAAAAGAGTTTATTATGCATCAAATGTAAAATACAACAATCTTGACACATAAAAATAAATGTGATGCAGTTTACTGTGATTTTCACAATTAGCTTGCCAGTTTCCAGAATACCAAGTAGGAATGCAGTTCATTATTCAAAGGGAACAGTGGTATTTGGTGTTAATTATGAGCAATATTGAATGATTTGCACATGGTTGCTGAACATTTCAGTAAATGGCAATTTTGCTCAAATCTGAAGAAACCTTCCCTCTTGATAAATATCTCAAAGGGCTGTCACAGGACTGAACTACCCTTCTGGATTTAATTTTTTGTATCAATAGGATGCAGACAATGGGAGACAAATTAGATTCTCGAGTCAACTCATAGATACAAAATCTAATATGCTCCTACCTTAAAATATGTGTGTGTTAGTGTAGTGGGCTTGCAGTTAATCAGATGTTGCAATGTAGCAGTAAATAATAAACAATAATCATTGCATTTGGTATTCATGACTGGGGGTTGTCTCAAAGCACTTCATAGGATTTACTGTAAAGTATGTTACTTTACTTTGCAAACTGTCGGATTTAATATGAATTGGTGAGATTTGCTGTGACTAATTCTATGATTTTAAAATAAGGCTAATGCATCAATGAAGTGCTATATTTTACTGCAATAAAGCACAATCATAGAAATGATTGAATCCCATTAGTCTGCAAGGTCAGGAAAGCAACGGGAAAAAATCTGCAATATAAACTATTCAGAAGACTGTTGCTGCATAATTTCTCAAGGCACAAACTTCTACTTCTGATAATTCGTTGGAACTATGTATGTTAAGTCTCTGACTCTTAGAATTCATACAACCACTCTTATCCTCATCCACCACCTCCTCTCACCTCAACCTCCACGGCGCTGTCCTTGACTGGTTCAGATCATACCTCTCACACCGCCTCCACTTCATCTCCACAAACGACTTCTCCTCTAGCCCCCATGCAGCTCGTGCAGAGTTCCTCGGGGCTCTGTCCTTAGTCCCCTCCACTTGAATATCTATATGCTCCCTCTTGGTAACATCATCCACAGACATGGAGTCAACTTCCACATGTATGCAGATGACACCTAACTGTACCTCTCTGCCTCCACCCTTGACTGCAGGACCACTGCTGTCCTGACAGAATGTCTGTCAGACATCAAGTCTTAGATGAGAGCTAACTTTCTCCGGTTGAAAGTCAACAAGACCGAGGTTGTCCTGATTGGCTCCCGTCAGCGCCTCCTCACCTCAGGCGCTGACAACATCACCATCCATAGTTGCATACTCAACCTTGCTAAGCCAGTCCAGAACCTTGGGGTATTGTTTGACCCTCAACTATCCTTTCTACCCCACATCCATGCAATGACCCGCTCTGCCTTCCCCCACCTCCGCAACATCACCCTGCTCCTCCTGTCTCACACTGCAGGCCACCGAAACCCTCATACATGCTTTCATTACATCGAGGCACGATTATGCAAACTCATTGCTTGTCGGCCTCCCCAACTCCACCCTCCATAGGCTGAGGATCATCGAGAACTCTGCAGGCCGTGTCCTCTCCCGCACCAGGCTCCGCGACCCTATCACCCCCATCTTTGCCCGACTCCACTGGGTTCCCATCACACAGAGGATACAATTCAAGATCCTGGTCCTCGCCTTCAAAGTCTCCACAGTCTTGCTCCCCTCTACCTCTGTGACCTCCTAACCCCCTACCATCCTGTTTGCTCCCTCCGCTCAGCTGGCTCCGACCTGCTTCACGTCCCCCGCCTCACTCGCCCCTCCATTGGTGGGCGGGCCTTCTGCCACTCTGCCCCCACCCTCTGGAACTCCATCCCGCAGTCTCTCAGCCTCACCCCCTCGCTTGCCACCTTCAAGACCCATCTCAAGACCCTCCTCTTCGGTCGTGCTTTCGATCTCCCTGCTTCTCCCTCCACTCTCCCCCACCCCGATCCCCAGCTCGGGTCTGTAACTCTGTCTGTCCAGCGCCATGGGACATCCTGTCGTTGTATGACGACAGAAATGAGTGATTATTTTCACAATTAACATTAAAGCTAGTACGCTATTTTAATCAAACCATTTTGAAAAATAACAATGCAATTTAGGATTCAGTTTTGAGATGAAGTCTGCTCCCTTTGTGCTGAGCTGCTATCCCTTGGTGTCGGCTTTTATGGAAAACCAGCTTGCGGCTTTCAAGATTATACCTCATTTATGTACTCTTAAGCTGTCATCTATCTGTCTACAGCATATCAAAGTTGCAAATTACAGCAAAGTGAGAATGCATGCCTTGTTTTTTTTATTGTAAGTTACTAGGATTCCAAGAAACATGACTCCTTCTTTGAGAGCTACGGGCAACTTCTTTGTGTGTTTGGAAGATTAGGGTGTAGCAGAAAGAGCAGTATGGATGTCAGAGGCATGAGGAGAATGCAGTTCTGCTTGCTGCCTTGCCCCCTCCCTCCTCACTTTCAAATCCCGCCAAAAGACCTTTTTGATGGTGTTTACAGTCACCTCCTCCCCCCACCCCCTCCCCCCGGCTTAGGATCAGACCGCCATTGTCGAGCGGTACGGGACGCTACCCCGGTTGAAGGGCACTACATTAATGCAAGTTGTTGTTGGGTTGAAGGTCAGTAGGATAGAATTCAAAATACTCGTCCTCACTTTCAAGGCCCTCCATGGCCTTGCCCCCATCTACATCTCTGACCTGCTGACCCAATATCAACCTGCCCGCTCCCCCCGCTCAGCAGGCTCCGGCCTGCTCCAGCTCTCCCACCCGACCTGCCCTACCATCGGCGGCCGGGCTTTCAGCCTCTCTGCCCCCACTCTTTGGAACTCCATCCCACAATCCCTTTGCCTTGCTCCCTCTCTTGCCTCCTTCAAGGCACGACTCAAGATCCTCATTTTTGACCGTGACTTCAGGCGCCCTCCTACCCCCTCTGCCCTTCCTCATCCCAACCCTGCCCCCACGCTCGGATCCTGATCCCTGACTGTTCAGCTCCTTGGGACATCGTCCCGGCATGAAAGGCGCTTTACAAATGTAATTTTGTTGTTTAAGATATTCCAATGAAAATGATCGTGCCACAAAAATGCATCCAACTTTTTTTGGGTTAAACAGGCAATTGAAGATGGTAATCTAGAAGAAATGGAAGAGGAAATTCGCCAGAAGAAAGCACGCAAACGCAGAAGAAATGTAGATAAAGATTCATCAAAGGATGAAGGAAAGAAGAAAAAGAAGAGAGGCAGACCTCCAGCCGAAAAACTGTCTCCAAACCCACCAAAGGTCACAAAGCAGATGTCTGTAATTATAGATACAGTTATAAACTACAGAGATGGGTAAGTTTAGTCATTGAATTTAGCATTCTTACCTTCAAACAAAGCTGATATACAAGCATTCTGGGTCATGCTTTGATTCAACTTATTTCCAGGATGAAAATAGCACAAATTAACTTCATTAATTGTTGTCAATGGCATCACCTGTACCTGCAATTTAAAATTAATTCAATTCTTGCTTTACTGGTTAGAAGTCATACAATAGCAATAAAATGTTTTATAGCACAGGATTCCTTGGATCTAAAACCTAATTAGTTTTATTAAAAAAATTTAAAAGGGAAAGAAAGTGTCTGAGCTTTGGGGCTAATGTAAATTTGCATTTTTCTCTAATTTTAGCTCTATTTTAATGAATTGTCCAATAATAAAGACCAACCCTATTGTAACCTGATGGTCTGGGTACAATATCTGAGGCCATGTTCTAGCAAACTTCACAGTTGTCGGGTCATCACTGTCATTGGTTCCTTTGTGAAGTGATATCCGCATATTTCCTACAACCAGCATACATGCACAGCAGCAGAAAATGACAGCAGCAATAGTTTTTGCTTATAGCAAGTAATGTCAACAGCGAGCATCTAGCCCAGCAATCAGAAGCCGAATGGGTGTGCCTCTCTTTCAGTGTAGGACTTCAGCAGAAGTACTTCTGCGCTTCCATAGAAGATCCAGGAAACCAGGCTCAATGTGGCTGCCCTGTAACCTGATTCTCAATGGGCAATTCATAAACATTCACCTGCTTATTATTTGCTGTTTGTAATGTATTTGCTTTCAGGAGCAACAACAACATTACATTGGTATAGTGCCTTTCACGTCCCAAGGTGATGAACAGTGAGAGTTTCGGACCCAAGCTGGGGGTCGGGATTGGGGAGGGTGAAGGACAGGGGGCAGGGTGATCAAAAGCATGGTCCAAGAGGAGGGTCTTGAGATGGGTTCTCACCTTAAATAAAACAATTTCTAATAACATTTATAGTAATGTCTATGGCTCGCCAACTAAATTTGTGAAACAAGCTAGTTTGCATTCATTCCATAATCAGCCTTTGAAGCTTTTTATTCAGAAACCTGATCTCTAAGGAGATCTATTCTTATTTTTAATCAATAAAAAAGAACAGCTGGCCTTGAGAAAGAACAGAATAAATAGACTGTTCGATTTGCTGCTTGGAATACAAAACTAAATTAAATTTCCTTACAAATATATTAGGAACGTTACTCAGAGAGACGATCATAACAAAAATGTGTTTCACAAAATAACTGCTGATTGCTTAGAGTACAGTATGAAATTTGACCCTGGCTTAACTTGTCATTATCATTTAAATCATCATACTGTCAATATCCCAGCCACATTTATTTACGTATTTATACATATGCCCAACTCACCCTCCTGATAACTTGTCATTGAACCCTTTTCACTTGGAATGACACGTTATCAAGCATGTACTGCATTTAACAAAAGCTTGCTCTTGGTTTCCAATGCACAATTTCTAGAATTCTCAATGCTTGCCCCAAACAATCTGGCTTTTCTTAAATGTGAACCATGATAAGAATCCAAAATGACATTGTTCATATCTGGAGTCCACTCTTTATTGTCTCTGGATTAACTGTGTTAGGTTAAGTATACATGGTAGGTGATAGGTTCTCCCTATCATAATTTAGCAGTTTGAAACATTTGTTCTGTTTGAAAGACACTGTATAAGTGCAAGTTAGCAATTCCAGAGTGTGTGAGCTGCATGACCACCTATCTAGTTACTTATCACTGAAGCAACTAGATATGCTATCTGCTTTATGTAAATGGTACAGCTGGCAAAAAAGGACTTTGTGTAGCTATGGAATGTGAGATAAAAATGCAGTAGTTGCAATGCTAGACTATTATCAGTAGGTTGGAGGAGAAGAGACACTCATATCAATCAATCATAAATGGTTCTTTGTACTTTACTGCAATCTCAAAGCAATAATAAGCTTGGATGATATAGAACAGGCTCTAGAATGGAAAGAATCTGAGTTGAAGTCATGTAATTTGTGTTTTATTATTTGACTGATGTGCAATTGCAGAACTGATTTTGCTTTAAACATGTATCCTTTAAAATAGTATGGGTCGACAGTTGAGCGAGGTTTTCATCCAACTACCCTCTCGAAAAGAGCTGCCTGAATACTACGAGCTTATCCGAAAACCTGTGGATTTCAAGAAGATAAAGGTGGGTAAATCACAATCTAGGTCATTTAGAGTTTATCATAAGCATTTGTCAGAAGGTTGTTTTTTTTTTTGCTTCCTTGCCTTCTCTCTTCCTCCATGCCCCCAATTCCAGTGAGACTGGAATGTTTTAATCTGCTTGGAAATGATCTATTTTATACAGCTGATTTAATTCTACATCGTGTTCAGCTGAATATGAAAGGAGTAACTCATGAAATTAACTTTTAGCTTCTGCTTTCATATCTGAAATAATAAACCTTACATTTAATATAGAGTCTTGTCTCATAAATGTCCCAACATTTCGCAGGATTTACTGTGAAGTCTAGTGATAACTAATTTGTACACAGCAATGTCCCAGAAACAACTAGGAGTGAATGAACAATTTTAAGCGGTGGATTGTTGGCTGGGACATTGGGAGAAATTCCCTTCTCTTATTGAGTAGTGCCATGGGAGCTTTAATCTATAAATAGATATATATAATTATTGATATAGTGCTTTTCACGTCTTCTAGACATCTCAAAGTGCTTCACAGAATATACTGTAAAGTGAATTGACTGTATATTTGTAGGTGAAAGCACAAATGAAAGGAACCACAATCTTGCAGGATATTGAACTACTTTGGAGTGTACTTGCTTTCAAAATGCTGTTTTTTGAAGCTTCTCTAATTGAACACTGCAATTGTATAAACATGACACAAAATGGTGCTTATCAGAAGATACATAAGCATCTCTGTTTTCAGGAAAGAAATGGAGAATTGGAATAAAATTGGAAAGTTACTGAACTGAATTGCTGTACTTGTGATTCCACTCTGCCAAATAAACACAAAAGTTTAAAGAATGGAAACCTAAAGGTCATCACTGGCACAAATCAGACATCGAAATGTCCCTTTGAACCTGTTATTTAATCCCATCTTGGCTACACTTTACACCACCCCCCTCCCCAACCAATGTGGCGGTGGACTGGCCCTCATTTTCCAAACTTCACTTGGTCTATCCTCCTATTCCTCTAGCTGTTTCTTCTCCTTTGAGCACCTTACCCTCCACCATCCCTCCTCTCTCTCCCTCAAAATCCTCCTAGTTTACCATCCCCCAATCCTCCTGGCTCCTTCCTCACTGATATCTCCTCTTCTCCCATCCCTGTTCCTCTGCACTGAACACCTGCTCATAATGGGTGATTTCAACCTCCACTTAAACTCTCCACCTCCTCGGATTTCACTGCCCTCCTCTTCTCCCTAAACCTCACACTCCACATTAACTCATCGACTCACAACCGTGGCCACCCCCTCGACCTCGTAATCACATATGACCTTAACATTTCCGACCTCTATCACGGACAAGGCCATCTCGGATCACTTCCTCATCTCCCTCTCTTCCTGCATCCCCCTCCCCTCTTCCAAGCCCGCCACCATTTTTTCCACCCCTGGAAGAAGCTTCCCCCTGAATCCCTCACAAATGCCCTCTCTTCCTTGGAACTCTTCTCTCTCTGGTTCTCCACCCACAGTGATCCTGATGCAGCCTACAAGCTGCTGAATGACCGTCTCTCCATAACCTTCAATTGCCTGGCTCCCCTGAAATCCAGGGTTGTTTCCAAATCAACCCACTCCCCCTGGTACAACAGTCATCTCCGCTCACTCAAAACACAAACCTGGATGCTCGAGCGCAGATGGCAGAAATCCAACCTTAAGATTCACGGCCAGCTGTGGCTCGAGCATCTCCACACCTACCCCTCTCCCTTTCACAGAGCAAAACTGACTTTTACTCCAAAGTCATCCTGTAGACAAACAACAATCCAAACACGCTGTTTCCCACCATCCATCACCTCCTTTAGCACCCCCTCAAGTTCATAAGAACATAAGAATTAGGAGCAGGAGTAGGCCATTCGGCCCTTCGTGCCTGCTCCGCCATTCAATAAGATCATGGCTGATCTTCTCACCTAACTCTGATTACCTACCCTATCCCCATATTCCCTAATCCCTCTATCTTTCAAGAATCTATCAGTCTCAGCCTTGAAATAGTTCAAGGACTGAGCATCTACAGCCTTCTGGGGTAGTGAATTCCATACGTTCACTACCCTCTGAGTGAAGAAATGTTTCCTCAACTCTGTTCTAAGAGGCTGACTCTTAATTTTAAGACTGTGACCCCTGGTTATAGATTCTCCTACCAGGGGAAACAGTCTCTCAGTGCCTACGTTATCCAGCCCTTTAAGAATCAATATGATCCCCCCTAATTCTTCTGTACTCTAGAGAATACAGCCCTAGTTTATTCAACCTATCCTCATAGGTCAGTCCCCTCATCCCAGGAACTAACCAAGTGAATCTACGCTGCACCCCCTCTAGGGCAAGTATGTCCTTTTTTTAAATAAGGAGACCAAAACTGCACACAATACTCTAGGTGCGGTCTCACCAAAGCCCTGTACAGTTGCAGCAAGACTTCCCTACTCTTATATTCTAGACCTTTCGAAATGAACGCTAGAATGCCATTCGCATTCTTAGTTGCTTGATGCACCTGCAAACTAACTTTGTGGGACTGGTGTACAAGGATGCCCAAATCCCTTTGAATACCAACACTATCTAACTTCTCCCCTTCCAGAAAATAATCTGTTCTTTTATTCTTGCTACCTAGGTGAATAATTTCACACTTGCTAACATTGAATTCCATCTGCCACCTACTTGCCCACTCCCCTGGCCTATCTATATCTTGTTGCAATCTTTTTGCATCATCCTGAGAGCTCACTCTGCTACCTAGTTTAGTATCATCCGCGAATTTAGACACATTACATTCAATGTCCTCGTCCAGATCATTGATGTAAATGGTAAGTAGCTGAGGCCTAAGCACTGATCCTTGTGGCACTCCACTAGTTACA